CACTTATATAGTGCTCTCCAGGCACAAACATCACCAGGGATACAAACTTACAGAGACGCTCCGCTTCCAGCGCGACAAACACCTCGTGAACACCAGATAGCAGCGTGAGTCAGCGTGAGTCAGGCACAATCTTCCTCAGCCTACTCAAGCTCAACTGATGAGGGGTGAATTCCCCGAAACACTGTGTATTGAGCAGGGAGTGGTGCTTTCTTGCAGGTTTGCCGAGTCGAAGGTTCGATGGACTTCTCGTGTGCTCTGGATGGCAGTCGTGAGTCAGTCAAGTGTCAAGTAAAGTCGGCGGAATAGCGCGAGCTCCGGTGTGGGGAGCAAACCTTTCTTACAAATCATCGCCGAAGTCGCAACCACTACTTCGTACTGTTGTGCCCAGCGCGGGCTTGCGACTAGTTGGTTTGGAGGTGACAGCGTTGCGAATGACCGAGGGTCCTCGACGTCTGTCTCACCGTCCAGGAGCGACACTGACTCACGCTGCTATCTGGTGTTCACGAGGTGTTTGTCGCGCTGGAAGCGGAGCGTCTCTGTAAGTTTGTATCCCTGGTGATGTTTGTGCCTGGAGAGCACTGTATAAGTGGTGCTATTCAGGCACAATCTTCCTCAGCCTACTCAAGCTCAACTGATGAGGGGTGAATTCCCCGAAACACTGTGTATTGAGCAGGGAGTGGTGCTTTCTTGCAGGTTTGCCGAGTCGAAGGTTCGATGGACTTCTCGTGTGCTCTGGATGGCAGTCGTGAGTCAGTCAAGTGTCAAGTAAAGTCGGCGGAATAGCGCGAGCTCCGGTGTGGGGAGCAAACCTTTCTTACAAATCATCGCCGAAGTCGCAACCACTACTTAATAATAATAATAATAATTCAAACAGTAGTTTGGAGGCGGTGGGAAAAACAGTTTCGTAATACGTATTCGCATGCAACGACGCAAATCCACACAATTCAGTAGACACTTTTTCTATCAAACGTTTTCTTTCCCTTCTCTTCAGGATAGTACAGGGAATGTTGGAAATTAGAAAAACACATAACTATATAGAGAATGAAAGAAAGAAACGGAGTACTGGGGATCTGAATACGTCGATAATGGAAGTGACAACAACGATCAACAAGAGGAAACGAGGAAGACCAAGAAGTGACACGAAAACGGCCATGAAATCAACAAAAACGGACATGAAATCAACGGACGTTGGAGGTGTGGACCGGAGCAACCAACCAAACAAGCCTAACGGAAGAGAACAACGGCAGGCGTCGAAGGTGACAGAGCTAAGTGATCGGACATCGTCCATCAAGCGTCATTTGTCGGGCAGTGCTAGTTGTCGTAAGTTGTATAGTGATGATATCTTTTCGATTTTGACTCGTGGAAGGTCTAAGTTACATCTTGCTGTGTTAGAAGCTCGGTATATTCGTAAACTAGATCCAGAACTATGTGTACAGAAGGAGAATGTGTTATCGTTGCAGTTGTTTGGTGTCACACCTCGTGAAAGTGTGACAAGTGTTCCCTGATGTGTTTAACGTGTTTGTCTACAACTTGCAGCTGTTTGTTTTTGAGTTTTTAACACTTTAATCATTTTTAACACCTATGTTGAGGTGTTGACTTTTTCTTTCTTTCATTCTCTATATAGTTATGTGTTTTTCTAATTTCCAACATTCCCTGTACTATCCTGAAGAGAAGGGAAAGAAAACGTTTGATAGAAAAAGTGTCTACTGAATTGTGTGGATTTGCGTCGTTGCATGCGAATACGTATTACGAAAATAATAATAATAAGAAGAAGAAAGGGTTTGCTCCCCACACCGGAGCTCGCGCTATTCCGCCGACTTTACTTGACACTTGACTGACTCACGACTGCCATCCAGAGCACACGAGAAGTCCATCGAACCTTCGACTCGGCAAACCTGCAAGAAAGCACCACTCCCTGCTCAATACACGGTGTTTCGGGGAATTCACCCCTCATCAGTTGAGCTTGAGTAGGCTGAGGAAGATTGTGCCTGAAGAGCACCACTTATATAGTGCTCTCCAGGCACAAACATCACCAGGGATACAAACTTACAGAGACGCTCCGCTTCCAGCGCGACAAACACCTCGTGAACACCAGATAGCAGCGTGAGTCAGTGTCGCTCCTGGACGGTGAGACAGACGTCGAGGACCCTCGGTCATTCGCAACGCTGTGTCAAGTAAAGTCGGCGGAATAGCGCGAGCTCCGGTGTGGGGAGCAAACCCTTTCTTACAAATCATCGCCGAAGTCGCAACCACTACTTCGTACTGTTGTGCCCAGCGCGGGCTTGCGACTATTTGGTTTGGAGGTGACAGCGTTGCGAATGACCGAGGGTCCTCGACGTCTGTCTCACCGTCCAGGAGCGACACTGACTCACGCTGCTATCTGGTGTTCACGAGGTGTTTGTCGCGCTGGAAGCGGAGCGTCTCTGTAAGTTTGTATCCCTGGTGATGTTTGTGCCTGGAGAGCACTATATAAGTGGTGCTCTTCAGGCACACTCTTCCTCAGCCTACTCAAGCTCAACTGATGAGGGGTGAATTCCCCGAAACACTGTGTATTGAGCAGGGAGTGGTGCTTTCTTGCAGGTTTGCCGAGTCGAAGGTTCGATGGACTTCTCGTGTGCTCTGGATGGCAGTCGGGAGTCAGTCAAGTGTCAAGTAAAGTCGTCGGAATAGCGCGAGCTCCGGTGTGGGGAGCAAACCCTTTCTTACAAATCATCGCCGAAGTCGCAACCACTACTTCGTACTGTTGTGCCCAGCGCGGGCTTGCGACTAGTTGGTTTGGAGGTGACCGCGTTGCGAATGACCGAGGGTCCTCGACGTCTGTCTCACCGTCCAGGAACGACACTGACTCACGCTGCTATCTGGTGTTCACAAGGTGTTTGTCGCGCTGGAAGCGGAGCGTCTCTGTAAGTTTGTATCCCTGGTGATGTTTGTGCCTGGAGAGCACTATATAAGTGCTGCTCTTCAGGCACAATCTTCCTCAGCCTACTCAAGCTCAACTGATGAGGGGTGAATTCCCCGAAACACTGTGTATTGAGCAGGGAGTGGTGCTTTCTTGCAGGTTTGCCGAGTCGAAGGTTCGATGGACTTCTCGTGTGCTCTGGATGGCAGTCGCGAGTCAGTCAAGTGTCAAGTAAAGTCGGCGGAATAGCGCGAGCTCCGGTGTGGGGAGCAAACCCTTTCTTACAAATCATCGCCGAAGTCGCAACCACTACTTAATAATAATAATAATCAACAAAAACATCTGCGACACGCACCTGGTTATATTTCTCAAATAAATCTGATAGAGGGTGGGCCCGGTGGGGAAATCTGAAATATCTGAAAGGCAAGACAATTTTATGAAATGAAATTCTGCTACAGCAACATGCACAGAATGACCTCCATATAAAAAAAAGTATCACCACGGTCCACCACTACTCACATGTTTCCCCGCAGAAGAACATGCTAGTGCCATTTTCTGCAAGAAAAGGCTTGCACATCAATGCGTATAATACCGGTATTGATATGATGTGAAGGTCATCATTTACATAATATCAATATTATTGATATAGGGCATTCCATTGGTTGGTGACAGAAAAAAACAAAAGAAATTATAGCAATAAAAACTGCTTTATGGCAGTTTTCTAAAAAAGGTTATTGTGTTCTAGTCTATGGACCCCGTCTAAAAAGTAAGAAATTAACGAAATGTGATAGCTGAAAATTAAAATTTCACAAAAAACCTCACAATAATCACACACAGAATGAAAAGCCATAAAAATAATAGAATAATGAAAAGGTCTTCTACATATTATGTAGAAGACCTTTTCCCCTCGTGATCCTCTTTCCTATGCATGCATGTTGCAAATTGTTGGTGCAGTACAAGTTTAGTAAAGTTAATAATAATAATAATAATAATGATAGTGTTGAAAGCAGCATTTCAAGTGTTGTGATTATTGTGAGGTTTTGTGTGAAATTTTAATTTTCAGCTATCACATTTCGTTAATTTCTTACTTTTCAGACGGGGTCCATGGACTAGAACACAATAACCTTTTTTAGAAAACTGCCATAAAGCAGTTTTAGAACGCAATAACCTTTTTTAGAAAACTGCCATAAAGCAGTTTTTATTGCTATAATTCACATGGCAAGACCTAACGACACCGCTATTCAGACACTTTGTCTACGTAGCTACGTAAGTTTCTACGTAAGATGCTCGGTACCTTGTCCTGGACCAGGGAGCTAACTCTGGCTCCTACCGGTGCCATCGCGCGGCCTGCTGGCCGCATGCGTGTGCATTGCAGACTTGAGGCAACCTTACACTGTGCCTTTGCGCACACACGCTCAACCTGCTGCTCGAAGCTGAGGGACGACTCCAATAGGGGGTCAAGGTACCGAATATTCCTGGACTCGGGGATTACGGTGCCTTTACAGGTGATGCTGGGGATCACGTCCAGTTGCGCAGTAGGTCGTCTGAGCAGCAGGAGCTGAGACTTTTTGGGATTCAGCACCCGTCCCCGCTTGCTGAGGAAGTCCTCCAGATTCAAGAGATCTGTGCGCAGCATTCTGAGCATGGTTGAAGCGTTGCGACCAATGACGTAGAATGCGATGTCATCCGCAAACAGGAGAGCACGGCAATGTTGAAATTTCTGAGGGGTACGGCGGATATAAATGCAGAAAAGTAAGGGGCCTAACACGGAGCCTTGTGGTACACCACGTGAGCAGGGCTCTGTACTTCCTCGGGCATCGCCGACAAGGACCTGCTGGGTTCTCCCAGTAAGGTAGTCTGCGAACCAACGCAATGCCACACCTCCAATGCCAACTGAAGCCAGTTGACCGCCACTATTCCGCCTGGTCTACACCACACAGCTATGAAGTGGCTTTTTCCGGCCAGAGAATCCCTACTTCGTGATCCTTTTCAGTCCCCCCCCCCCCTACGCACCTCACCGCACATACTCTGGCATGCACGGGCACAGGAGAATGCAAGAAAAGTCAGGAGGAGTCTGAGAAAGTGAAGAAAGATATGTGTGACCATCATCTAACGAGAACTTCTGGATTGGAAATCACTGCAAATACAAACTCGACTTGCTAGTACTTGAATGTGTTTATTTGAATTTGCAAACCGAACGGACTGAACATTTCCAATGACAAGGAAGCGAATGAAGTCCAAGTAACCCAGGAATGGGGACACAGATGAAAATAAAATATGGGAACAGAAGGCTCTCAGCAAAGGAAGAAGAGAAAAAAAGGAAAGAAAAAAAAGAAAGGAGAAAAAGAAGAAAAAGAAGAAAAATCGTGGTCACGGCGAGAAGAAAGCTTTTAGGAAAAAGAGAAATGAAAGGATAAAGGAGAAAATTGGAAGACACATCGTGGTCGCAGACAAAGCCGGAGTAGCGGCAGGACACAGTAGGCATAACAACAACAGGAAAAAGCACGCATGAAGTGTGGGCCATGCCGGCCCAGAAGCGGGAGACACCGACAGGAAGAGAGAAGAGAAGAGAAGAGAGAGAAATCGAAGCATTGCACATCTACACCCACACATCAACACATCCACACACCCAAACACACGTACATGTACATACCCACACCTACACACCCACATACACACACTACTTGAATGTGCGTCTGGTGAACTAACGAATGCGGGACAAACAAGGTGGCCAAATATAGTCCACCCGTGTAAGTCGGCCACAGAGCAAGTAGATGGCCTTACTCATGGCAAAGCACTCGTAAACAACGGAAGCCGCCAGGTTAAACAGAGCGAGCCTTGGCAGTGCAACGGCAGCTACTGACTTGGAGGCACTGTAGCCATGGTGATGCTATCGCAACTTGCTTGTGATCTTGCAGTGTAGACACGGTGGCAAGCGTTTACAGATGGAGTGTGGCGACGATCAGGAAAACTTGAGTGAAGAGAGATGGCATGGCAGCTCCATAAGAGGCTACGGCTGAACAAAAAGCAAAAAAGAAAAGCACAAACCCTCGGTCACTGCATCATGTATCGTAACGTGAGAAACTTTCGCAAGGAATAAAATTTCACTATTTTCACAACCTATCACACATTCCGGAAAATAAATCACCGCGAACTGCTATGTACATTGGTTGTAGACGGTACAAGATACAACTGAATAGTTGTACTCGAAGTGGATTTAAACTTGTTACAGTAACTAAATCGATGCCATTGGCGGGGTTCATGAACTCCACTTGGCAAGAAATTCTTCATTCACAAGTGTAGACTGCTTGTTGCGTGCACAGTAAATTAGGCTTACAGGCAGCTTTGGGCGTAGGCTTGATGTCGATTGTACTGTTGCTGTACTCCCTCCTGGGTGCTGCTGTGCTAGCAGGTGCCATGGTGGTGGGACCTACACTTGCATCTACAAAAATAGAAAATACATTACATGCACACACACACACACACACACACACACACACACACACACGCACACACGCACGCACGCACACACATACACACACACGCACACACACACACACAGGCATACGGAATGAATTTTGGAAACCTTGGAAAAGGCTTTGCCCAAATGGTCCCTCAGGTCATCATTTGCCGTCAGAAAATATGATCACACTGCAACAATATGCTCAACTGTGACAACAACAACACCATGCCCAGCTGCTCAAGTTACGGCCCAGTACAGCCTTCGACACGCACGCACTTGGCACCTCCCACCCTCCAGAACCGATCGCTGTAAAGACTCCCCACTGTACAAGTCCCTAGAATACTACAATGCCCTCCCTGCTAGCGTTCGTGACGTCTCCTCCCGACCTGCTTTAAAACATGAAATCTGCTCACTGCTGATTAACTCAATCTGCTCCTGCAGCACTCACCCTCTCCCATACTTGTAAAGTTCAAAGCGATGTAAATCACTTTCCAACTGTTTAACCCACAATTTCACCTTCTCATAAATTTATCTCTTATTGGCGATGGTGCCATCGTGAGAATAAAGAATTTAATTGCAACAGGACTAAAATCGATGGAGTTACGACAGTTTTACGGTACGTACACAATATCAGTCGTTAATGACTGATGCACCGCAAAGAATTAAAAAAACACTGTGACAACAACAACAACAACAACAACAACAACAACAACAACAACAACAACAACAACAACAACAACAACAACAACAACAACAACAACAACAAAAACAACAACAACAACAACAACAACAACAACAACAACGGTGCCATCGTGAGAATAAAGAATTCAAAAAAAACAACAACAACAACAACAACATACAGGCGGCAAGTGTGCCCAGGACGTGTTCTTGTCACAATCAATGGAAACTCGCTACTTAAGATCCTATTAGGATTAACACACTACCATTGACAAAAACAAGAGCACAAGTAATAAACAATTTCCTCTGGCACAAAAATGCGAAAAAAACTTGTGAAACGAAAAACTTTCAAGATGTTCGTAAAGAGCCTTTTTATGAGTAATATTGCAAGTAATAAAGTAGCACATAATCGACAAGAGTGCAATATACTGGTTAGTGATAAATACACAGGTGAGAGTTTGCTGGGGGGGGGGGAGGGAACTTCAGCAAATATGTATATAATATAACCTAACCAGTTGATTATATGGGAAATATAAACCTGTATACAAACCGAGGCGAAGCCGAGGTTTGTATATTGGTTTATATTTCCCATAATATAATCAACTGAGTAGGCTATATTATGCTTATACTGAGCTGATATACAAACTGCCCTCTCCCCCACAAGGGTAGAGATTGGAATTCCAACCCACAACCATGGCTCGACGAGTCTTCCTTTCACCAACCTGTGCGGATTAAGTACAAGACTACCACTGACTCTGTGCAGTACATGCAGTGCAGTGCCATCACACACCGTCTTTGTGACTTCAGTTTAGTACTGAAGTACTAGTTACATCGGAAGTAACAGCTATGCGCCAAGTAAGTTAGTTTGAACCTCACACTTGCACTGTACTGAGTCACAGTGCTAATGACCGTTACCGCGCGCAGATCTCACCGCGGGCTCTGTAAAAGAACCGTTTGCTCATTTGAGACATAGAGTTCGTCTCCTTTCCAAAGTAAGAGTAAAATGAATCAGCACGAGCCTGTTGAATCGACTCCCAAACGTTTCTTTAGTTCTTCTGAGGACGACCACGAATCACGATGCCATTATTCAAGCAGCAGTTTCCAAGAACACTGGCAGTGCCACGGATTATGGCTGCGCATGTTCCGTCCGCTCCGCGAGGGACGCGGAAAGGAGAACATCGATTGGAAAACCATCAGTAGTGAAGTTCCGTCGCCCCTGCTATCTGCATTCTATGTCGATGCAAAAACGCAGGAGGAGCGGCACGCGGGGCTTTTCAGCCGCACATGTCGAGTGCTGCGCTTGACAGACGGAGTGCTGAAACAGCAAAAGAAGGACAGCCTCGAACGTCAGGTGCAGCACAAGGCACCTGTTACAAAGGACGACGTTGTATTCTTCATCGTTGACGGGAAAGAAATCCTGAAGTTGGGACCGTCGTGCATGTCGAAAACCATCAAGGCGGACTGCAGGTCACTAGTGTGATCCTAAAAAAAAGGAGTTTATATACCAGGGACCTCGGTCTTTTACTCGGTCTATATATCCTGTATAGACCTCCTAACCGGTCTATAATCTATTTATCGTGTTCTCCACGCAATAGTTTCTCTTCATATATGACATATCCTTGTAATTCTAGTATTATACTATAGCCTATACCGCATTGTACTGCATTGAAAGTCAAGATCATTGTTTAAACTAGGTTCAGCATCGGTAGCACAGTGGCTGGGTGGTAAGGAAGAGTGACTGAGGTTCACAAGGTTGTGGGTTCAAATCCCATCTTGTGTATTTCTGCTTTCTTCAAAAATTTCTTTTTCTAAGTTGGAGAGAAAATTTCTAAGTCCAGGAAGTTCTAAGGAGTCAAATATAAGTAGTCAAATATATCGTGTATTTGACTAAGCAGTCAAATACGCGATATATTTGACCGCTTAGGTATCAGGGAAATTAGTGGGGTCAAATACTAAGAAGGCGATAAACCAGTTTATACACCAGTTTATATACCAGTTTATATACCAGTTTATATTCTCGTCATCGAAGTACCTGTTATATGCAAAATACAAGTCTGGAGTGTTGTGTGGGGAGAGATGGGAGTTTGTATACAAGCTCAGTATAAAGCACTATATCATGTCAATGCACGTGTAACCGTGGTGAGTGCAAAATTACTGAAAGTGCAGTAACATGAACTTTCATTCTTCTTTTAGTGATGAAACGAACCATGCATTTTTGGAACGAAACACTTTATTTATTGCTATAATCATGATACGAGTGCGCCTATAGTGTTATTAAATGCATTTTCAAATTATTTTCTCCACGTCGCCGTTGTGAGTGTTTTACATTATTTCGTTTACACTATGTTGTACTTACTGTTGCAAGAAGGCATTTGTAGAGTTCCATCAGCACTGCATGCTGGTGTTGCAAATCCATTTATTATATAACCAGTATTACACGTGTAGTTCACATGCTGAAGGTACGACACAGTTTTCTTGTCTGCACTGCCATGTAGGAGTGTGGGTGCTGTACAATTTACAACTAGCAGTACAAAAAAACAAAGCACCACGCAGTTGCAGTGTTGAAAAAGAGACAGCAGAGACAGATGAATGGTGACTGTAACTCGGCTGATGACAATTCGGGAAGATTCAGAATGACTGTGACACGACATCTGTGTGTATTCTCTTTAATCATATACAGTCAACTTTGTGTATAAGGAGTCATCAGAAAAGTGTCCGAATTGGTGCATTGCCGCTATAACTGCAGTTGTTATTAACGAAGTTTATTGGACTACTGGTGCAGGCAGATGTCAAACCACGGCACAATATCAAGTGTGAATATCCCAATGGACCTCTTTTGCGTGTGTGTTTGTGTGTGCGTGTGTGTGTGTGTGCCCGTGTGTGCGTGTGTGTGTGCGCACATGTGTGTGTGTATGTATGTGTGTGTGTGTGTGTAGACGAGACTGGCGCCTCATGTGCAATCGTCCCCCGCCGGCTGTGCTAAAGCCTAGAGTGTTCATTTGCGGCTGTTGCAGGGTCTTCTGTCGGCCCAACGATCTAACTCGCGACAGGAAATACTGCAACTCCTAATGCTATCATTGCATGGAGCAATGGGCATCTAAAGGTGTGTGTGTGTGTGTATGTGTGTGTGTGTGTGTGTGTGTGTGTGTGTGTGTGTGTGTGTGTGTGTGTGTGTGTGTGTGTGTGTGTGTGTGTGAATCTGTGTTTGTGTGCGTTTTGCTTTTTATTTATTTATTGCTATAATCATGATACGAGTGCGCCTATAGTGTTATTACATGCATTTCAAAATATTTTCTCCACGTCGCCGTTGTAAGTGGTTTACATTATTTCGTTGTTAGTTTTGTGCCTAGTTGTTGCACTTTCTGACTGTATATAGTAACCAGTTACAGTGATTGAGAGTAACTCTAAGGCCGATTCCACACTACGCCGAAAGTGGCTTTGCCTTGAAGGCATAAATTGGCTTATAAAGTGAAGCTGCATTCACACCTACAAGTGTCGATCACAAGACTTTGCTTTGAAGGTAAGACTGTGAGGCTTTCCTGTGCTTGATCTAGCAATGGCGGTAGTGGAGAGGCTCTTTGTTGGTCCAAATCCTCGAATATCACCCATGTTCACGTCCCCAATCTTGAAATTTGACCACGCTAGCGCGCTGTGTGTAGGCGGATTCCAGATCATAGGTCGACTATTTGTCAACCTCGCCAACAGGCTTTCCGGTGGCAGTTTTCGTTGTGTATGTCTCGTACAGTCCTTTCGCCTTCGTTTTCATGTTGTCGATTTTGGAATGGACGATCGACGCAGTATAGATTGCCTCCTTCCGGAGCTGTTCAGCAAACAAATTCAGCTTGATGGCGATCTCCTCCGGCGTAGCTCCTGCGAACTGTACCGGCCGGAGATCGCCTCAAATGTCCGCTCCAAAGCTCGATCAGCTTGCCCTCAAGCTCCTGGCTAAACATGACCCTAGGCATTGTTGACAGCTCACAATTCACCACAACTGAAAGATACGACAGGGAACACATTCGGAAAATATCGAAAGGCTGAAGAAAAGTCAGAAAAGTGTCCTGTGAAAAGGTAAAAAGTTGCCTTGAAAGAGGGTGCTGGTGTTGCTTTGTAGACAACAAGCACTTTTCACTTTCGCGCGTTTCTCAAAGTGATCGCCATGGCAACTTGCCTGAAAAGTGCCTGAAAAATGGCTTTTTAGACAGTATTTGGTGTAGTGTGCAATCGGCCTAAACTCGTATCCATATGTCCCTTTCCTTTCCACATTAATTTATGGCTCAACATCCGAGTTTCAAATAATAATAATAATAATAATAATAATATGGTGCACTGGCATGTGCAGCGATTTCCAATCGATAGGTTGCGAGTTCGTTTCCTGAGTATTATGGTCACACATGTCTTTCTTCTCTTTCTCAGACTCTTCCTGAATTTTCTTTCATTCTCCTGGGTGGTTATCAACAGCCAGTGCATGCCAGAGTATGTGGTGTGATGTGTGCACGGGAAAAAAAGGAAGAAAGAAAGACAAAAAAAAACACCAAAAAAACACCAAAAAATAGGGGTTCACTGGCCAGAAAAAGTCACTTCAAATAGCTGAATGGTGTGGACCAGGCTGAATAGTGACGGACAATTCTTCAGCCTTGCAAGCTGTTGAATGGTGCAATCCCAGCACAAGGTGCTATGGCTTCTGCCGTAGCATTGCTATCATCGCCTCCGGCAATGGGCGTCAAAGGTCAGGTCAGGTCAGGTGTGGGTGTGTGTGTTCTGGGTGTGTTTGGGTGTGTGTGTGTGTGTATGCACCCCAATTGCTTCCTACACTGTGAGCACCTGTGTCACCAAGAATATAGCTAGTTCTGTAAATGTAGAGGGGACAGTAGGAACAATTCTCAGATTATGCTTAAAACTACGTCATGGTTTACATTGTTTGCACTTACTGTTGCAAGTAGGTATTTGTAGAGTTCCATCAGCACTGCACATTGCTGTTGCAGATCCATTCATTCTATAACCAGTATTACACGCGTAGTTCACACTCTGAGGATAGGACACCATTGTCTTGTCTGCATTGCCATTCGTGAGTGTCGGCACTGTGCAATTTACAACTAGCAGAAGAAAAAAAAATAACAAAAATACTTAGTAACAGTGGTGACAATTCCTGCGGCTTCACATAGAAAGTTATTTTGTGCAGATTTGCTCTTCACCATTCACTTTTCCACAATAATGGAAGAAGTTATACAATGCTTTCAACAGAACGGCATTTGAATGAAAAGAACCAAAAAACTGGTAAATAATCCGGGAGGAGAAAGAACCCTACTGAAACTGGCCGTACATCGATGGAGCACAGCTAGGGCCCATAAGCAGTCCACTGGTATTGTGTTTGTCGATATGTCATAAGCGTTTGATAAGGTTCGCCACCAAACGCTGCTAAATGACTTCACGAAAGGGTGTACGTGGCACTGCTCTGGCCTGGTTTGCCAGCTATTTGTCGGATCGGAAACAACGTGTTAAAGTTGGTTCTTCATCGTCATGCTACTCGGAGAGTTCACGGGGTGTACCGCAAGGTAGCGTTCTCGGCCCGTTTCTTTTTTCTGTTTACATCAGTTCCATCGACTCCCATCTACTGCCTGGCATTTGTCACCAACAATTCGCCGATGATATCACCTTAGATACATCATCATCCAGCCGTGCAGACATCAGCTTTAAGCTTAGTGTCGCAGACAGTTGACTGAAGCCTGCCCTGCGACAGGTCAGTTGATGCGGAACAAGACATCAGTGGAATCAAGAGTACATAGCCCCCAAGAATGTGCAACTCCAGCTATTGCGACGGCAGAACTTCACATCATGTGATGAACCCGTACACATTATTTGCACTCTGTGCATGATTGATACAGGGTTGTACGAACCCCAGCTTTGGGCACAACTCTCTTGTGATCACTTTGCACTGTTTTCCAGTGTAACCTTTGGAACCATGCCACGTGATGTGAAGTTCTGCCGTCTCAGCACTGCATAGAGGTTGTGCAGGCAGTTGCACACTCTTGGGGGTTATGTACTCTTGGTGGAATCCACCAAAGCTGCAACGACAACTGAAACAACTCAGTGTTGTGCAGGCAAACAGTCACTGTAACTGCAAGTGATTTTCACTTTGCGCGGGACTGGCCTCTCAATCGACCAGGGAGTCATACAATATATACTCCCTGGTTGACATGTACTGCCATGTGTACGGAGTACGGTGTTCGTTAGTGCAAACGAGTTGGCCGCACAAACGAGCCGAGTTTTTGGCGAACGAGCTAGCGAGTACCCGGTGAGATAGCTTCAACACTAATGGAAACCCACCACCACGGTTTTGATCTTAGACGATCTTCACGTTTTGTTTTATGTTGCTTACTTGAGCTCATAGGGCTCAGGAGTGGAAAAGGGAATTTCCCAACTCTGAGGTATCTGGTGTTCCTGCTTATCAAGTCAGCTCAATACCCAATAGTTACAGTCCATTCATCGGATACAGTCCCGCTGGCTTTTGAAAGTCCGATTTGGGCCAAACTGAGGATCAAAAACCATACTCAAATATTGGTTTGGGATCTGCTTCTCCACACGTTTTGCCATGGCATATCTATTTTCATTATATAAAACCAGGCTGAATTTCTATTTCACTTTTCTGGCCTCAAATGTGGCAAGCAGTTTTTTCACGGGTCAAACAATGCCAAATGTGCTGTTGTTTTCACAATGTCTACACCTACGTGTGGGAGACACCAAAAAGTTAGGGTGCCAGTTTCAAATGAATGGACTGTTGCCCCCAAGCTAGGTCCGCTTGCCACCTTAAAACACCTCTCTGTGGATATCTGTGTGCTTTGTGAGACCAAGCAAGCATGTTTCCACCACCATTTCTCCTGTTCCTGTTAGAGTTGAAAGTGGGACGTGTCTAAACATTTCCCATTTAGCCTCTACAAAGTTTAACGCCCCAGCAATCACGCACCTGTCTTCTATTTCTCCTGTACAGACAAGAGAAGGAATAACATACGTGTAATGTTTCTTTAGGTAACGACGGATTCTTTCTAGTTGAGATACAACTTATACAGTATGTCTTAACAGTCTTATTAATCGATTCATGGCTTCTTGACTACACTCACGATTCTTTACTACAAGGTGTCTGAGTGTAAGGGCAAAGTATGCCAAAGCTTGATCTAGCGATACTGACCACTGATGGTTTGCGCAAAGTCTGCCAAAATCTCAAGCTACCTTGGAATACTGGAGAACACCGCCCGGAAATACTGAGCAGAGCTGAGGAAGGCGGGACACGACAAGTTCTTCCCAACCCTGGGGAAATGGAGCCAGCAGACGATACGCTATCTGGCCTCCAGACTTCTTTTTCGGACCTGAAAAGGCAAGTCGAGCTTTTAAAGGGTTTCATTCTCAATAGGGACCTTTCGCACCACGCGTACAGATACGAAGTGAAAGCTGATTCGTCACCTGGGTTCGAGGATTCGTCAGATTCCCTGCGGAGATCTCGTTTTCACGATTGGATGTCTCTTCATTCGGTGCACCCTCCGAATCCGTCAGGTACACATTTATTTGGCCAGGGACACATGTTTTGCCAGGTACACATTTTTTACCTTGATTCGCTGATCCATACACGTATGCGTTGTATACACCCGTGCACCAAGCTACTGGCCGTATTCGTAGTTGCCATAGACATTGCATGACGACTTGCGAAATCTGAATCTGTTTTCAACGAAACGATTACGAGGCGAATCAAACTTTCGTTTCGCATTCGATTCGTAGCAAATGCGAAAGATCCCTAACAAACCTGAAGAAACAACGAATTGCCCTTCTTGCAAGCCAAGTGTTGTTGATGAAGACATCGCAAATGCCTTTCCTGAGCTTGCTGCATTGGGTTTACGACAACAAACACTTTCTGTACGAGATACACACGTAGATCTACGGGGTTCATGCACACAGAACCAAATCTATTCTCAGCTCGCCCCCAAACTGGACTACTGGAGCGATCAGCATGACCAGCGACCTACCTGTGTCACCGGCTGAAACGTTAGCACTCCAGATTACCAGCGCCAGCAGCGCAAACGGAATGAGGCCAGAGATGCCTGCATCCCAGCAGGCAGTCCGCGGAAGCACCAGTACTGGTGCCATCAGTAGCACCGGGCCAAACGCGGGAACAGCAGTCATCGGACGAGATTTTCCGGAGGCTGAAACCCATACAACTTCCAACGTTCACAGGCAACAAGAACGCCTATTGTGCCTGGAGAGCAGCCTTCATGGCTTGTGTTGGGCAGACGAGCTCAAGTCCGGAGGTGAAGCTCCTGCACCTGAAGCAGTATTTAGGTGGAGAGGTATTGGTCGCCATCGAGGGCCTAGGTTACTCGGCCCATGCCTACGAAGCCGCCGTAAACCGTTTAGACAGGAAATTTGGTGGCGAGCAAAGGCAGACAAACCTCCAATTTGAGGAAAAAGAGTCGTTCCCCGCGCTCCGGACAGGCCGGCCTGGAGACCTGCAGAGATTCGCCGATTTGCTGGATATGCTGATAGTGAACATGGTGGATGCAGGCAAGGAATATGAGCTGGGCGATGGTCTTCTGTTCTGACAGCTGCAAAACAAGCTGCCAATGCCAATGCCCATGCTGACCCAGCTTAACCGTTGGCGTCACAACAACACGAAACCCAGCAGTGTACCAAAGCTGTTGGAATGGTGACCCTCGAGGCAGAATTCGCTACTGGAGCAGCGGAGATGGCCCGCGGAGTCAGTTCTGCGGATGGTCATCATGCAGCGACATTGACGACTAAACCAGCTCTTGCACGAAGTCGGCCAACGTTCGGAGGTAGCTCCGGAGCCCACGCGTCATCATTCCTGGCCTCTGGTCAGAGCGCTGCCAAAATCCAGTGTGTGGTATGTGATGCACCCCATCACACATGGAGCTGTGGCATCTTCAAGAGCGAGTCTCCCAGCAGGCGGTGGGAAACAGCAAAGAAGAAAGGCCTCTGGTATAGGTGCCATGGCACTGGACATCGAGGGACATCCTGTACCAGAAACAGGAAGTGCGGTGTCAGTGGCCGCAGTCAGACACATCACCAGCTGCTTCATGATCGTCAACCGCAGCAGAAACGAAACCTGTCTGAAGCAGCCATGAGCAGTGATGCAGCATCGTCAAGCGCTCCCACAGCTTCAATCAGCACAAGAGGGGCAACAACACCTCCAAGAGAGCCAGCCTCTATTAATTGCTCCATCCAAGCATGCGGCATCACAGAAGGGGAGCCGGATCTGGGAGAAGATCGGCCGCGTGGAGTACCATCGGTCTCGTTACGCATCCTCCCGGTATCGCTTGTGCATGAAGGAATACGACTACAGGTTAACGCTATGTTGGACGATGGCAGCACTACCACCTACATAACCACTGCAGCTGCCGGCCAGTTGAGGGTGGCAGGAAGACCGCAGCAGATATCAGTTTCTGTTCTGAGTGGGTCGACGGAAACATTCGTCACGACGCCGGTCAATATCACAGTGGAAAGCGCTGACGGAACATTAACAGCGCTAACCATTGATAACATCGCAAGCAACTTGAAGGCCGTTGATTGGGCGAATGTGGCAGCGCAATGGGACCACCTGCGCGATGTTTCCTTCCCGGCTCTCACTGAGGAATCAGTTGACGTTCTAATTGGCAACGATCACTGTGAATTGCATTCTGCCTTGGAAGAAGTCAAAGGCAAGCCAGGAGAACCACTAGCTCGCAGAACGCCGTTAGGTTGGACATGTATCGGAGCTGTATTGTACCATGATGATCGACCAACTCGTGCCAACAGCACCTACTATGGCGTACAGCTGAACCCGCTTTACAACTGCTTGCAACGGTTCTGGGAAGTTGATCAAGGCGGCATCAGCCCTGAGCCCCCTGGAACATGAAAGACCGCAGTGTGAAGGCTGAAATTGAGCAGTCAATGCGGCAACTCCACGGGGCTGGGTACGAGATTCGACTGCCATGGAATGAGCAGAAGTCGCAACTGCCCGGCAACTACAGCATGGCGTTGAAGAGGCTGCGCAACACGGAGAGCCGGCTGAACCGTGATCCGTCTATTGCAGAGGCATACAGCAGCACAATCGAACAGTATGAAGGCAAGGGCTATGTGAGGCGACTGGCGACAACAGTTTCAGCGGAAAAGGCATGGTACTTGCCACATTTCCCTGTCATCCGGATGAATAAGAGTACAACTAAAGTTCGACTGCTCTTTGACGCTGCCGCAAGGTGCGATGGAGTGGCCTTAAACGACTGCATAGAGCCGGGCCCTAAGCTGGAGCGAGAGCTATTGGATGTGCTGCTCAGCTATTGGATGTGCTGCTCAGATTTTGACGCAACCCCGTAGCCATCGTCTGTGATATTCGGGAGATGTATCTTCAGATTCGAATTCACCCCGAGGACCAACCGTACTTGAGTTTCTTGTGGCAACCACCGCAGAGTGATGCTCAACCAGACGTCTATCAGTTTGAGCAGCTGGTCTTTGGCCTGAATGTTTCTTCGTTTGTCGCCCATCTTGTGACGCAGGAACATGCATCAAAGTATATGTCGACTCACCCGCTAGGCGCCAATGGTGTGTTGAAGTCCACATACATAGACGATACTCTTGATTCAGTAGCCAACGACAAACTGGCAGTGCAAATGTGCCAAGAGTTGTCACTGATCTGGGCTGCAGCCGGCATGAAGGCTCGGAAATGGCGGAGTAATTTGCCTGCGGTTCTAGCCGAGATACCCGCGGAGGACCGGCTGTCTGCACTGGAACTCAATGATGGAAACCTGCCCACGATGGAAGCGCTCGGAGTCAGATGGGTAGCGCAACATGATGTGTTCCAATTCCAGCCTGCCTTCCAGGAAGTGAACAAGGTGACCGAACGCCAGGTGCTGAGTCAAATTGCCAAGCTGTTCAACCCGCTAGGATTTGTGGCATCATTTGTAACGTTTGGCAAGGTGGTAATTCAGGAGCTCTGGGCACTCAGCGTCGACTGGGCCGACGAAGTGATATGGCCATTAGCTGACAAGTTTTGACGGTGGTGCTCGGGAGCAACACAGCTGTCTGCCGTCAATATACCTCGGTTGCCTGTTCCCTAGTGGGCCAGCCGGAGACAGCTCTATCCATGTTTGTGTGTTTGTAGATGTGTCAATGCTGGCGTATGGAGCTGTAGTGTACAGCCGGGACCTAAGCTCCTATTACACTGTACAGACTCGCCTTGTAGCTGCTAAGACCCGAGTTGCTCTACTCAAGGTAATTAGCATTCCACGATTGGAGCTTTTGGCTGCCATTCTCGGTTTGCATCTGGCCGAAACTGTGTGCCAAGTCCTGGAGTGGCCAATGTCCGAGGTGACCTTCTGGAGCGACAGCGCTGATGTTTTCTGGTGGATCAGAAGTCCAAGCCCTAACTTCAAGCCATTTGTAGCGCACCGTGTTGGAGAGATCCAGACGACGACACAGACGCAGCAATGGCGTCATGTGCAATCTGGACAGAATCCGGCTGACCTCGCACCTCGTGGCACTTCGGCTGCGGAGCTAAGTAGTTGTGCATTGTGGTGGTAGGGACCACCCTTCCTGCACAACAAACCAGCGCAATGGCCAGTGGGACCCGCCTCATTCTCACACGAGGCCAACCAAGAGAGCAGGAAAGTGACGATGATTGCAAATTTCACTGCTAACGAGCAAGAAACCGTCACAGGTGACGGAAGGGGAGAAGGAAGACTTGTGCCACATCGTTTCTCCAATTTGCTGCGATACAAAAGAGTGGGGGCTTGGGTCAACCGCTTCCTTGACAACTGTAGTCGTGCCGAGGAGCAAAGCGGGGAGCTGACCGCAGCGGAGCTAAGTGAGGCTGAGAACGACATCATCCTGGAAGCTCAACACGAAGAGTTCAAGGATGTTATTGAAGCAGGGCAGCAGCACAAACCCTTACCGGCCAAGTCGCATCTAGGAAAGCTGCAGCCTGTGATCGATGGCGCTGGTCTTTTGAGAGCTTCTGGATGAACCCAACTGGCAGACAATTTGCCTTTCAATGTGTGCCATCCAATCTTATTGCCGCGCTGGCACCCTGTAACACGTCTCACCGTGAAAGAGCACCATGAGATGCGGCATCACAGTGGAACGATCGAGACTCTTGCCGCGCTAACCACCCACTATTGGATTGAAGGCGCACAGGAAATGATCCGCGAGTGGGAACGAGAATGCAATACATGCCGTCGTCGCAAGCCAGTGGAGCAAGTGATGGCCCCCTTGCCTGCTATGTGGTTGAAAACTCCACTGCGCGCGTTTGCCCGGTGTTCTGTGGACTATGGAGGGCCATTCTTGACCAAGGATGGTCGAGGACGAGTTCAACAGAAGCGATACCTCTGCCTGTTCACCTGTCTGCTCTGCCGTGCCGTCCACCTGGAGATGAGCTATGCGCTAGACACCGACTCATTTCTGAATGCATTCACGCGGATGGTCGGCCGACGCGGACTGCCGTTAGAGACGTTGTCCGATAATGGCACAAACTTCGTGGGAGCCAACAAGGAATTGCTAGCCCTTGTGCTACAGCTCGACCAAGATGCCATCCAGCGGTCTCTGGCAAACCGTGGAGTGGTGTGGCATTTCAATCCGCCATTGGCCCCACACCATGGAGGAGGCTTCAAGCAATTGTTTTCTAACAGATTTCTTTTGATAGTCGTGAGCTGGTCCTTTGGGTGGTTTGGGTGTGTGCCGAGGCAGGAGCATGCCTCTACAGAACATTGACGAACCCCTCCCACCCAACCCCTAACCCCTCCCCTAACCTTACGTAAATTAAATCTTCGTTGATTTGTTGCATCACTGTGTTGGTAGTGTTGCTATGCAAGCCAGTGATGAACAGCAAGGTGAGAGCCGCTAGCTGCCCCCAGATAAAGCGGGACCTTGATGACAAATACCCAATGCTGAAGCCAGCTAGCTGTATAGGCCACTTTGACGTTCTTTCCGTAGATCGACTACGTTTTTAGTAATGTAATTACGTTATGCGGGACCTTTCTAATGAGTTTAAGACGCACACTATTGTGATGGCTTACCAAGTGTGGGTGGGTAATGGCAGGTTGTTGCAGTTGTGCACACACCGATTCCATGGCACTCTTTGCCGCCATCAGAATCGGCCGAACACGGCCTGGTGACTCGAGACTTGTCCATGCAGCGTTGCTTGTGGCACACGAGGTCCTTGTTAGCACCGCTGGAATCACAGAGTGTTCCGTCATTCACGAGAGATGGGTCGTCATTGCTTCTTGGTAGCGAGACGAACAAACCATTGCAGTCGAACAATTTGCCTTCATTTACTAATGTATAGATTGTGGATAAAACATCACTACGGACTGGGAATTGTTTCTGACCTGGACGGCAAAACAAAGTACCACAGAAGGCATCTTCTGCTGCACAAGCTGCATACGTTCCTGCTGCTGCGGAGGAATTGTCGAATTTGAAACCACAGTTGCCCGCTTCCATTCCAAGCGTGTTTAGGTGGGTGAAGCAGTACTGATCAGCTTGTCCTTGAGCTGAATCGTTCCAGGCCCTCTGACACTGGCTAGATAACGATTGGCAAACTCCACTCCAGCAGTATGCTTGACTATTGGAGCAAGGCCAGCCATTGCGCGCGGTCAGGTCCTCTGGACATGTGGCATTCTCGCCGTCGCAGTACTCTGGCACATCGCATTCGCTGGTGGCGGCGCGGCAGACGTGATCCCGGCGTGTCACGATGCGCTTGTTCACGCAACACGGGTCCGTGTCCGCACACTCTGCATTAAACCAACACACGCAACAACAAGGGTCAGTATGCCAGAGAATGGCACAGCGGAAAGAAATCAGTCTCCGCACCTTCCGAAGAATAACATTGCAGCATGCGGACAAAAGCCAAAGATTATTGATGTGTCAAGGTTGTGTCAATTGCCTTGAACCTTATTTGCAAGTAAAAGTGCACAATACACTACAGAGAGTGTGGTCACCCCGACATCCAGTGAAGAGCAGAACATCTCCTCTGTCTCCATTCGAATTCACTGCTGTCACAATATTAAAGGCATTAAGAGATCCTATATTTTCTGTCATGTGCCCCAATAGCAGGTATGTTTTGCATTGTATTTCTATTTCTGTTGTCGTTGCTCTTTTTGTTTTTATTTTTCGTTTCCCAAGTCCATTCAGCACGTGCGAATTTGTGGGTGGTTTACCACCGCTGACATTGACGCGTTAGTGCATAATAATAATAATAATAATATTTTCTGAAGTAGAAGTCGCACTTTAAAGGGGAAGTAAAGGCAAAAATCAAAATTTCACCAGTTGTCTTCGGGGTGCTGAGTCGAATGGTCTTGGTCCAAGAAAGCTGAGACGCTCCTTTCCTACTTGAATCCCAATCGAACTCGCGCACTTCCACCGAAACTGGGTGACTGCGCCCTACTAAATGGGGATTTGTATGCAAAATGTCACTAAAGGCGCCATTTCGTTCTTATAAAGGCACGGATGACCGCGATTGGCCCATATGTTGTAGTCTTTTGGATGCTGAGTCGACTGGTTTTGGTCCGAAAAGGCTGCGATGCAGCAATTTTCCTTTATTCCCAATCGAACATGATTGCGGTCACGTGCTCCTGGGTGTCCAAATCACCTGGTCACCACGCCAGCAGGTGACAACTTTCACACCAAGGTTCAACTCGAGTGACAGGAATGCACCCAAAAAAGGTCAAACAGGCTAATAAGTTTTACCCTGCAGGCACGGTGATCAGGTGACTGGTGTGCGCAGGAGCATGTGACAACTTGTTCGACCATATTCGATTGGGAATAAAGGAGGAACGCTGCATCGCAGCCTTTTCGGACCAAAACCAGTCGACTCAGCATCCAAAAGACTACAACATATGGGCCAATTGCGGTCATCCGTGCTTTTATAAGAACGAAATGGCGCTTTTAGTGACATTTTGCATACAAATCCCCATCTAGTAGGGCGCAGTCACCCAGTTTTGGTGGAAGTGCGCGAATTCGATTGGGATTCAAGTAGGAAGGGAGCGTCTTAGCTTTCACGGACCAAGACCATTCGACTCAGCACCCCGAACACTACAACTGGTGAAATTTTGATTTTTGCCTTAACTTCCCCTTTAAACATCAGTAATTCACCAAAAAACGTCAGTGCAACTTATTCTGTGATGGTGAAAAAAACTGTGATAGACTGGGTAAATGTCTGCATCTCCCGACCAAAATAAATCTAGGTGCGCCATCTACTCTGCAAAATACGGTAAGTGTCCTTCAAGGGGAATACCCTGAGCTATGTGATAGGTCAAGTGTCCTTCAAGGGGAATACCCTGAGCTATGTGATAGATCAAGAGTTAGTGTCCTTCAAAGGGAATACCCTGAGTTAAGTGATAGGTCAAGTGTCCTTCAAGGGGAATACCCTGAGCAAAGTTATAGGTCACGCCAAGAGTACATAACCAAGAGTGTGCAACTCCTATCTTGAGCTGAGATGGGCTCACCCACGGCGGATTTTTTTTATTGCGTCATTCTTGGGCAGAAGTATGATGAAGTGGGTATGCTTTACTGTGGTTGTTTTGTAGATACGGTGAGAGTTCGTCATGTTCAAGACACATCGATCTCTGAGGCTGCGTTTACACGACAACGCACGGCCAGTTTTCCGTTTTCAGTCCCGCATTTCTTTTTTCGTTTTCGTACGTTTACACGATCAAAGCCGATCCGAGGTGGTCTCCGTTTGTACCGTTTTCAAGCGTCTACACGAGAGCAAAGGATCCTCCAAAGTTCGTCATGTGCCAAGTGTTGCCGTGGAAGCACCAATCACACTCAAGTAATGGTTGCCTAGCCCAAATTTGCCGGCAATTCTTCCAGCAAAATATCGAAATTTCCCACGAAAAGAAATTGCCAGCAAATTCCGAGCAAAATATCGAATTTTCAGAGGATCCGGGTGTGTTTTTGCAATTTTATTCTAATTTCTTTGGTTTCATTGGGCCAACGTCGTGCTGAAACAGCTCGTGCAGGTTGTCAGGGGTACATCAATTTGAAATCATGCTACAAAATCCGTAATACTGACACCGTTTTGCTTTCCTCATCAGAGTCACCATCCACTTTTACCAAAGTAGACGCGTCGACGGTTCATTCGAAGCTATTTTTGCCACAAAGCAGGAGCAAAATGGAGCAAAATATCGGAAACGAAAGGCAATGCCAAGCAAAATATGGAAAGTGCTTGGGCAAAATTTGCCGGGAAAATATCGAAGCGCCTCGAGCAAATTTGGGCTAGGACTAACGTTAACAGGCACACGACAACACAAGTCACATGACGAAAATTGTAAAAACAATTTTTTGGATTGTCGGATCCCTGTAAACGGCCGAAAACGAAACAAACGTGACGGAAAACGAGGCCAGCACACCGTTTCAACTGTTTACACACCCAAGTTTATCCGGCAGAACATTTCCGTTTTCAAATTCCTCCACCTTGGCCAGCGTTTTGGTTTTCTTCCGTTTTGGTGTACAACTTTTACGTTTTGCTCCGCGTACCGTGTGAATGAACCATGGATGAGAAAGGATTTCGTTGCGTTTTCGCCCCCAGCGTTGTCGTGTAAACGCAGCCTTAATTCTATCGCCCGTTGTTCTGCTTCGACTACCATAGCTGTGATGTACAAATTCGTCGTACTTTGATATCTGGCTACGCATGATGGCATCAACGAGCCAAACAGCCGCCAAAGAGTGATGTCATAACAAAATTCCGCCGCGGGCTGGGGGATCGTCGAGTTGCACACTCTTGGTTATGTACTCTTGGTCACGCACATAGCAACGACTTCAATCCCCTGACTAAAAAGAAGAAATCTTTTTGTCGTACTAGTTTCTGGGGCGGTGCTTTCTTGCAGGTTTGCCGAGTAAGTGGCCTAGTATTGTCATCGTGTGCTCCAGACTGCAGTCGTAAGTCAGTCAAGTATCAGTCAATCAGCAGGAAGCGCGAACTCCGACCTTTGGAGCAGGCGTCTTCCTCTAAAATCAAATGAACAAGGACAATGGATTTAAGATTTTTTTACGAGAAACCGCTTTCAAGCTGATGTTCTAGGGAAACACCCTAGTAAAATAAACGAGAGAGCTTGGAAGCTCAGGGCCCTACGCTATGCTTTGTTACTTAGCTCATCGTGCATGTTGTGGGAACTGATGGAAATGTTTCCTGGGAAGGCTCTGACTCTGCCGAGCACGCGCGTTCTGGTGTCGACGGGATCACTCTGCCGACGTTTCCTGTGACCGGCGCTGACTCGCCCGTTCACGCCTATTTTGGACACGACGGGATCTCTCTTCCAAAGTATGTTTTTGCTGACGCATCCTATCACCTATTCGGCAACTAACATCCATTCTAATTTCATTTCCTCCTCGTCTCCCTATTTCTTTCCAGAAAGTCTCTCTATACATCAGCGAGTCATACTGTATTGGCAGCTACCCTAACGGGTCACGCCGCCCACCACCCAAGCATGGGTATGATGAGGGACAGTGGCAACAGAAACAAAAAAAACAGCAAGCAGGGAGAGAAAGCAAGAGAAAGACGGCGATAGTAGTACATCTGGTGTGCGACGTATAGAAAAGAGAGATGACAAGAGATGCGCACAAAATAGGAAACAATAATTATTTTTGCAGTTCCGAAACAATCAACCAGGTGATGGAGTGTGGGCACCCGAAGTCCCACCTGGACTCCACTGGAAGAACATCCCACGCAGGGATATCAGCGATAGGCCAAGCGTTGAAAAACAGCCATGAGGACACATCGTCCAGAAGTCCACCGCGCTCGAACTGAAATTGCAGGTTCAAACAATTTCCCACGCGGCGTCAGGCAGCGTAACTCTTCTCCCTGCATCACCATCCATCTCCAGCAACCGTCTCCACTCATAGCTCATGCCTCTGCCACCACTGTACTCCACACCATGGAGGAGGCTTCAAGCCATTGTTTTCTAACAGATTTCTTTTGATAGTCGCGAGCTGGTCCTTTGTGTGGTTTGGTTGTGTGCCGAGGCAGGAGCATGCCTCTACAGAACATTGACTAACCCCTCCCACCCAACCCCTACCCCCTCCCCCAACCTCAACCTTATGTAAATTAAATCTTCGTTGATTTGTTGCATCACTGTGTTGGTAGTGTTGCTATGCCAGCCAGTGAGGAACAGCAAGGTGAGAGCCGCTAGCTGCCCCCAGATAAAGCGGGACCTTGATGACAAATACCCAATGCTGAAGCCCACAACACGTTCAAACCGGCTAAGAGACTCCCCCATCTATGCTTCTCTTGATCTCTTTAATAGCATCCCACTCAGCATCCGGCAAATCAACCCCAGACGAGATTTCAAAGCAAACATCCTACCACTTGTCATCTCTTCCGTATGTACTTGCTCACATTGCTCAGCACATCTATAGCTCCATTGCGCCCAGCCTACGTGATTAACCCCCAATTAGTATTGCCATCGCTACTGCCTCAGCAAGCAGCTAAACTTTGATCTCTCTGTATCTGATCCCGTGCCTGTAATTATTTTTCTCTTATTGGCCACCGGCCATCGTGAGAATAAAAGAATTCAAAACAACAACAAAAACAACAACAACAACAAGTGCCATCGTGAGAATAACAACAACAACAACAACAACAACAACAACAACAACAACAACAACAACAACAACAACAACAACAACAACAACAACAACAACAACAACAACAACAACAACAACAACAACAACAACAACAACAACAACAACAGCTCACCCCCTCCCATACTTGTAAAGTTCAAAGTGAAGTAAATCACTTTCCAACTGTTTAACCCACAATCTCACCTTCTCATCAATTTATCTCTGATTGGCGATGGTGCCATCGTGAGAATAAAGAATTCAAAAAACAACATATAGGCTGCAAGTGTGCCCAGGACGTGTTCTTGTCACAATCAATGGAAACTCGCTACTTAAGATCCTAGCAGGATTTACACACTACCATTGACAAAAACAAGAGTACAAGTAATCAACAGTTTCCTCTGGGAAAAAAATGCGAAAAAAACTTGTAAAACGAAAAACTTTCAAGATGTTCGTAAAGAGCCTTTTTATGAGTATTATTGCAAGTAATAAAGTAGCACATAATCGACAAGAGTGCAACACACTGGCAAGTGATAAATACACAGGTGAGAGTGTTGGGGGGGGGAGGGGAACTTCAGCAAATAAAGCACTATATCATGTCAATGCACGTGTAACCGTGGTGAGTGCTAAATTACTGAAATAGTGCAAGTGCAGTAGCATGAACTTTCATTCTTCTTTTAGTGATGAAACGAACCATGCATTTTTGGAACGAAACACTTTATTTATTGCTATAATCATGATACGAGTGCGCCTATAGTGTTATTAAATGCATTTTCAAAATATTTTCTCCACGTCGCCGTTGTAAGTGGTTTACATTATTTCGTTTACCATATGTTGCACTTACTGTTGCAAGAAGGCATTTGTAGAGTTCCATCAGCACTGCATGCTGGTGTTGCAAATCCATTTATTATATAACCAGTATTACACGTGTAGTTCACATGTTGAAGGTATGACACAGTTTTCTTGTCTGCACTGCCATGTAGGAGTGTGGGTGCTGTACAATTTACAACTAGCAGTACAAGAAACAAAGCACCACGCAGTTGCAGTGTTGAAAAAGAGACCGCAAAGACAGATGAATGTCGACTGTAACTCGGCTGACGACAATTCGGGAAGATTCTGAATGACTGTGACACTACATCTGTGTTTATTCTCTTTATACAGTCAACTTTGTGTATAACGGTGCATCAGAAAAGTGTCCGAATTGGTGCATTGCCGCTATATCCGCAGTTGTTATTAACGAAGTTTATTGGACTACTGGTGCAGGCAGATGTCAAACCACGGCACAATATCAAGTGTGAATATCCCAATGGACCTCTTTTGCGTGTGTGTTTGTGTGTGCGTGTGTGTGTGTGTGTGCCCGTGTGTGCGTGTGTGTGTGTGTGCACATGTGTGTGTGTATGTATGTGTGTGTGTGTGTAGACGAGACTGGCGCCTCATGTGCAATCGTCCCCGGCCGGCTGTGCTTGTTTGTTTGTTTAGCTTTATTTTACTTCACCAGAAGCACAGGCAAAATCTGCCTTCTCACTGGGCGTATTGCCACAGTTCTCGCAAAATGATGAAGGTGGTGATATAAGAAAAGGAGGAAGAGGAAAATACAATCATGAACAAGGCACAAAGAGAAGACGGAAACAAATCAATGAGGGAGTACTACAAGAAACGAATTTGAATTTGATGAATTTTTCATGAAAATAATGCAACGGATGGAAAGGTTCCAGGGTTGAGGGAATGTTGACAGTTATGCGTCTTTGAGATCTTAGGAGAGGGTAAGAGAGTTTAAGATATCGTTTGTAATTGCTTTCTTAAATGCAGAAGGAATGGTGATGGAGCGGACATCAGGCGGCAGGCAGTTCAAGTACACACTACCAATGAACTGAACAGTGGATCGACCGGAAGGACCCGGCAAAAACGGGACATGAAGCAGACGTGAAGCCTGACCCCGCGTGGCACGACCATTGACTAAATCAAAGAAAGTGCTGAAAAGACTACTGATCATTTCAGTACCAAGACATCTGTGAACAAAAAATAATAATTTTTGCTTATATATCTGAGTAAGAGTAAGAAGATCAAGTCGACAGAGAAGAGGGGATGATGGGGTAGTAGAAGGCACCTGGAAAACGGCGCGAATTCCGGATTTGAAAATCTTGACCAAGCGATCCAACAACTGCACTGTGAGGCAAGGATAGAAAGCCGTAGACGCATAGCAGAGATGGCTGCTGATCATGCTAATGAACCACGACCGTCTGGCTGATAAACTTAGAGCACGACCATGGCGCCAGAGCTGACCAATGGTCTGGGCAGTTCGCTTAGTCACGTTGTCCACATGCTGCTTCCATGACAGTTCGCAATCAATGACCACCCCAAGGTACTTGGAAGTAGGGGTAACCTTGAGTGCGTCCTGACCACAGAATACATCAGGAATGGCAGCTCTCTGTCCACGGGGCTGGATGACCATGACTTGCGTCTTCTTCGCATTGAGCAACAGCCCAATTTCAGCAAGCCAACGTGATACAGAAGTGGCAGCTGCACTAAGCTGTCGGCACACAGTGTTCAGATCACTGTCGGAGAACTCTAGTATGATGTCATCTGCAAACTCTTGGTGGATGACTTGTTCAGGCAGGATGGCATCTAAGTGGCGCGTGTATAGAACAAACAGCAAGGGACCAAGTACACTGCCCTGTGGCACACCACGGGAACAATGCACTGACGAGGAGACTGAGTTTGCAATTCGGACTTGTTGACTTCTTTCAGTCAGATAGCTACAAAACCATTGTAGAGCACTAGATGAGATACCAAGGGAGTGCAACTCAGAGACGAGTCGTTCATGCTGCACCCGATCAAAGGCTTTACTCATATCTACCATGACGATGCCCGTGAAGCGGCGATGTGAGCGTGCAAGCACCCACCTGTTGACGGCAAGCACAAGTGCATCCTCCGTCGAGTGACACTTCCGATACGCAAACTGAGTCTTTGGATAAAGTTCATGCGCTGTGAGATATTCCACGAGCTGCTTTTTCACAAAGTGTTCGAGAATACGAGATATAATCGGCAATAAGGATACTGGGCGGTAGTTAACTGGCCCTGTGGGGTCTCCTGACTTATACAAAGGACTAATAAACGATCGCTTGAACATCATTGGTACTGTTCCAGTGGACAGTGATCTGTTAATGATATCCGTGAGTGGCCCAGCAAGGCTATTGGCACATTCCCTCAACACTAAACCAGGAACGCAATCACTGCCCGTGGCCTTCGCGGGATTTATGCACTTCAGACAAGCTTTCACATCACTCACCGGCACCAGTTCAAATTGCAGAAAGCTAGACGCTGGCATCGGTCCACTTGGTGGTGTTAGCGTGGATGGTCGGTCTGGGTCATGCACAACATCCCCAAAGGTTTTGCTCAGGTCCTCAATGTCGGCTTGAGGTTCTTGACGCTGCTTAGCACGGCCTGTGACGATGTTCATAACTGACCACAACTTTCTCTGATCACGAGTTGCACACTGATTCATGAAGTAGGCATCACGTAGACGGCGATCCAGTTTCCTTGCAGTAGAGCGGGCCTGACGGTGGAGCTCACGCAGATCCGCATTGCTAAAGCCTAGAGTGTTCATTTGCGGCTGTTGCAGGGTCTTCTGTCGGCCCAACGATCTAACTCGCGACAGGAAATACTGCAACTCCTAATGCTATCATTGCATGGAGCAATGGGTATCCAAAGGTGTGTGTGTGTGTGTATGTGTGTGTGTGTGTGTGTGTGTGTGTGTGTGTGTGTGTGTGTGTGTGTGTGTGTGTGTGTGTGTGTGTGTGTGTGTGTGTGTGTGTGTGAATCTGTGTTTGTGTGCGTTTTGCTTTTTATTTATTTATTGCTATAATCATGATACGAGCGCACCTATAGTGTTATTACATGCATTTCATATTATTTTCTCCACGTCGCCGTTGTAAGTGGTTTACATTATTTCGTTGTTAGTTTTGTGCCTAGTTGTTGCACTTTCTGACTGTATAATAGTAACCAGTTACAGTGATTGAGAGTAACTCTAAGGCCGATTCCACACTACGCCGAAAGTGGCTTTGCCTTGAAGGCATAAATTGGCTTATAAAGTGAAGCTGCATTCACACCTACAAGTGTCGATCACAAGACTTTGCTTTGAAGGTAAGACTGTGAGGCTTTCCTGTGCTTGATCTAGCAACGGCGGTAGTGGAGAGGCTCTTTGTTGGTCCAAATCCTCGAATATCACCCATGTTCACGTGCCCAATCTTGAAATTTGACCACGCTAGCGCGCTGTGTGTAGGCGGATTCCAGATCATAGGTCGACTATTTGTCAACCTCGCCAACAGGCTTTCCGGTGGCAGTTTTCGTTGTGTATGTCTCGTACAGTCCTTTCGCCTTCGTTTTCATGTTGTCGATTTTGGAATGGACGATCGACGCAGTATAGATTGCCTCCTTCCGGAGCTGTTCAGCAAACAAATTCAGCTTGATGGCGATCTCCTCCGGCGTAGCTCCTGCGAACTGTACCGGCCGGAGATCGCCTCAAATGTCCGCTCCAAAGCTCGATCAGCTTGCCCTCAAGCTTCTGGCTAAACATGACCCTAGGCATTGTTGACAGCTCACAATTCACCACAACTGAAAGATACGACAGGGAACACATTCGGAAAATATCGAAAGGCTGAAGAAAAGTCAGAAAAGTGTCCTGTGAAAAGGTAAAAAGTTGCCTTGAAAGAGGGTGCTGGTGTTGCTTTGTAGACAACAAGCACTTTTCACTTTCGCGCGTTTCTCAAAGTGATCGCCATGGCAACTTGCCTGAAAAGTGCCTGAAAAATGGCTTTTTAGACAGTATTTGGTGTAGTGTGCAATCGGCCTAAACTCGTATCCATATGTCCCTTTCCTTTCCACATTAATTTATGGCTCAACATCCGAGTTTCAAATAATAATAATAATAATAATAATAATATGGTGCACTGGCATGTGCAGCGATTTCCAATCGATAGGTTGCGAGTTCGTTTCCTGAGTATTATGGTCACACATGTCTTTCTTCTCTTTCTCAGACTCTTCCTGAATTTTCTTTCATTCTCCTGGGTGGTTATCAACAGCCAGTGCATGCCGGAGTATGTGGTGTGATGTGTGCACGGGAAAAAAAGGAAGAAAGAAAGACAAAAAAACACCAAAAAAACACCAAAAAATAGGGGTTCACTGGCCAGAAAAAGTCACTTCAAATAGCTGAATGGTGTGGACCAGGCTGAATAGTGACGGACAATTCTTCAGCCTTGCAAGCTGTTGAATGGTGCAATCCCAGCACAAGGTGCTATGGCTTCTGCCGTAGCATTGCTATCATCGCCTCCGGCAATGGGCGTCAAAGGTCAGGTCAGGTCAGGTGTGGGTGTGTGTGTTCTGGGTGTGTTTGGGTGTGTGTGTGTGTGTATGCACCCCAATTGCTTCCTACACTGTGAGCACCTGTGTCACCAAGAATATAGCTAGATATGTAAATGTAAAGGGGACAGTAGGAACAATTCTCAGATTATGCTTAAAACTACGTCATGGTTTACATTGTTTGCACTTACTGTTGCAAGTAGGTATTTGTAGAGTTCCATCAGCACTGCACATTGCTGTGGCAGATCCATTCATTCTATAACCAGTATTACACGTGTAGTTCACACTCTGAGGATAGGACACCATTGTCTTGTCTGCATTGCCATTCGTGAGTGTCGGCACTGTGCAATTTACAACTAGCAGAAGAAAAAAAAATAACAAAAATACTTAGTAGCAGTGGCGACAATTCCTGCGGCTTCACATAGAAAGTTATTTTGTGCAGATTTGCTCTTCACCATTCACTTTTCCACAATAATGGAAGAAGTTATACAATGCTTTCAACAGAACGACATTTGAATGAAAAGAACCAAAAAACTGGTAAATAATCCGGGAGGAGAAAGAACCCTACTGAAACTGGCCGTACATCGATGGAGCACAGCTAGGGCCCATAAGCAGTCCACTGGTATTGTGTTTGTCGATATGTCATAAGCGTTTGATAAGGTTCGCCACCAAACGCTGCTAAATGACTTCACGAAAGGGTGTACGTGGCACTGCTCTGGCCTGGTTTGCCAGCTATTTGTCGGATCGGAAACAACTTGTTAAAGTTGGTTCTTCATCGTCATGCTACTCGGAGAGTTCACGGGGTGTACCGCAAGGTAGCGTTCTCGGCCCGTTTCTTTTTTCTGTTTACATCAGTTCCATCGACTCTCATCTACTGCCTGGCATTTGTCACCAACAATTCGCCGATGATATCACCTTAGATACATCATCATCCAACCGTGCAGACATCAGCTTTAAGCTTAGTGTCGCAGACAGTTGACTGAAGCCTGCCCTGCGACAGGTCAGTTGATGCGGAACAAGACATCAGTGGAATCAAGAGTACATAGCCCCCAAGAATGTGCAACTCCAGCTATGGAGTTTGCGACGGCAGAACTTCACATCATGTGATGAACCCGTACACATTATTTGCACTCTGTGCATGATTGATACAGGGTTGTACGAACCCCAGCTTTGGGCACAACTCTCTTGTGATCACTTTGCACTGTTTTCCAGTGTAACCTTTGGAACCATGCCACGTGATGTGAAGTTCTGCCGTCGCAGCACTGCATAGAGGTTGTGCAGGCAGTTGCACACTCTTGGGGGTTATGTACTCTTGGTGGAATCCACCAAAGCTGCAACGACAACTGAAACAACTCAGTGTTGTGCAGGCAAACAGTCACTGTAACTGCAAGTGATTTTCACTTTGCGCGGGACTGGCCTCTCAATCGACCAGGGAGTCATAGAATATATACTCCCCGGTTGACATGTACTGCCATGTGTACGGAGTACGGTGTTCGTTAGTGCAACCGAGTTGGCCGCACAAACGAGCCGAGTTTTTGGCGAACGAGCTAGCGAGTACCCGGTGAGATAGCTTCAACACTAATGGAAACCCACCACCACGGTTTTGATCTTAGACGATCTTCACGTTTTGTTTTATGTTGCTTACTTGAGCTCATAGGGCTCAGGAGTGGAAAAAGGGAATTTCCCAACTCTGAGGTATCTGGTGTTCCTGCTTATCAAGTCAGCTCAATACCCAATAGTTACAGTCCATTCATCGGATACAGTCCCGCTGGCTTTTGAAAGTCCGATTTGGGCCAAACTGAGGATCAAAAACCATACTCAAATATTGGTTTGGGATCTGCTTCTCCACACGTTTTGCCATGGCATATCTATTTTCATTTTATAAAACCAGGCTGAATTTCTATTTCACTTTTCTGGCCTCAAATGTGGCAAGCAGTTTTTTCACGGGTCAAACAATGCCAAATGTGCTGTTGTTTTCACGATGTCTACACCTACGTGTGGGAGACACCAAAAAGTTAGGGTGCCAGTTTCAAATGAATGGACTGTTGTCCCCGAGCTAGGTCCGCTTGCCACCTTAAAACACCTCTCTGTGGATATCTGTGTGCTTTGTGAGACCAAGCAAGCATGTTTCCACCACCATTTCTCCTGTTCCTGTTAGAGTTGAAAGTGGGACGTGTCTAAACATTTCCCATTTAGCCTCTACAAAGTTTAACGGCCCAGCAATCACGCACCTGTCTTCTATTTCTCCTGTACAGACAAGAGAAGGAATAACATACGTGTAATGTTTCTTGAGGTAACGACGGATTCTTTCTAGTTGAGATACAACTTATACAGTATGTCTTCACAGTCTTATTAATCGATTCATGGCTTCTTGACTACACTCACGATTCTTTCTACAAGGTGTCTGAGTGTAAGGGCAAAGTATGCCAAAGCTTGATCTAGCGATACTGACCACTGATGGTTTGCGCAAAGTCTGCCAAAATCTCAAGCTACCTTGGAATACTGGAGAACACCGCCCGGAAATACTGAGCAGAGCTGAGGGAGGCGGGACACGACAAGTTCTTCCCCAACCCTGGGGAAATGGAGCCAGCAGACGATACGCTATCTGGCCTCCAGACGGCTGTTTCGGACCTGAAAAGGCAAGTCGAGCTTTTAAAGGGTTTCATTCGCAATAGGGACCTTTCGCACCACGCGTACGGATACGAAACGAAAGCTGATTCATCACCTGGGTTCGAGGGCTCGTCAGATTCCCTGCGGAGATCTCGTTTTCACGAATGGAAGCCTCTTCATTCGGTGCACCCTCCGAATCCGTCAGGTACACATTTATTTGGCCAGGGACACATGTTTTGCCAGGTACACATTTTTTCCCTTGATTCGCTGATCCATACACGTATGCGTCGTATTCATAGTTGCCATCTACATTGCATGACGACTTGCGAAATCTGGTTCTGTTTTCAACGAAACGATTACGAGGCGAATCAAACTTTCGTTTCGCATTCGATTCGTAGCAAACCTGAAGAAACAATGAATTGCCCTTCTTGCAAGCCAAGTGTTGTAGATGAAGACATCGCAAATGCCTTTCCTGAGCTAGCTGCATTGGGTTCCCGACAACAAACACTTTCTGTACTAGATACACACGTAGATCGGGGTTCATGCACACAGAAAAAAACCTATTCTCAGCTCGCCCCCAAACTGGGCCACTGGAGCGATCAGCATGACCAGCGACCTACCTGTGCCACCGGCTGAAACGTTAGCACTCCAGATTGCCAGCGACAGCAGCGCAAACGGAATGAGGCCAGAGATGCCTGCATCCCAGCAGGCAGTCAGCGGAAGCACCCGTACTGGTGCCATCAGTAACACCGGGCCAAACGCGGCAACAGCAGTCATCGGACGAGATTTTCCGGAGGCTGAAACCCATACAACTTCCAACGTTCACAGGCAACAAGAACGCCTATCGTGCCTGGAGAGCAGCCTTCATGGCTTGTGTTGGGCAGACGAGCTCAAGTCCGGAGGTGAAGTCCTGCACCTGAAGCAGTATTTAGGTGGAGAGGTATTGGTTGCCATCGTGGGCCTAGGTTACTCAGCCCATGCCTACGAAGCCGCCGTAAACCGTTTAGACAGGAAATTTGGTGGCGAGCAGAGGCAGACAAACCTCCAATTTCAGGAAGTAGAGTCGTTCCCCGCGCTCCGGACAGGCCGGCCTGGAGACCTGCAGAGATTCGCCGATTTGCTGGATATGCTGATAGTGAACATGGTGGATGCAGGCAAGGAATATGAGCTGGGCGATGGTCTTCTGTTCTGACAGCTGCAAAACAAGCTGCCAATGCCCATGCTGACCCACCTTAACCGTTGGCGTCACAACAACACGAAACCCAGCAGTGTACCAACGCTGTTGGAATGGGTGACCCTCGAGGCAGAATTCGCTACTGGAGCAGCGGAGATGGCCCGCGGAGTCAGTTCTGCGGATGGTCATCATGCAGCGACACTGACGACTGAACCAGCTCCTGCAAGAAGTCGGCCAACGTTCGGTGGTAGCTCCGGAGCCCACGCGTCGTCATTCCTGGCCTCTGGTCAGAGCGCTGCCAAAATCCAGTGTGCGGAATGTGATGCACCCCATCACACATGGAGCTGTGGCATCTTCAAGAGCGAGTCTCCCAGCAGGCTGTGGGAAACAGCAAAGAAGAAAGGCCTCTGGTATAGGTGCCATGGCACTGGACATCGAGGGACATCCTGTACCAGAAACAGGAAGTGCGGTGTCAGTGGCCGCAGTCAGACACATCACCAGCTGCTTCATGATCGTCAACCGCAGCAGAAACGAAACCTGTCTGAAGCAGCGATGAGCAGTGATGCAGCATCGCCAAGCGCTCCCACAGCTTCAATCAGCACAAGAGGGGCAACAACACCTGCAAGAGAGCCAGCCTCTATTAATTGCTCCATCCAAGCATGCGGCATCACAGAAGGGGAGCCGGATCTGGGAGAAGATCGGCCGCGTGGAGTACCATCAGTCTGGTTACGCATCCTCCCGGTATCGCTTGCGCATGAAGGAATACGACTACAGGTTAACGCTATGTTGGACGATGGCAGCACTACCACCTACATAACCACTGCAGCTGCCCGGCCAGTTGAGGGTGGCAGGAAGACCGCAGCAGGTATCAGTTTATGTTCTGAGTGGGTTGACGGAAACATTCGTCACGACGCCGGTCAATATCACAGTGGAAAGCGCTGACGGAACATTCCCATTTAACAGTGCTAACCATTGATAACATCGCAAGCAACTTGAAGGCCGTTGATTGGGCGAATGCGGCAGCGCAATGGGACCACCTGCGCGATGTTTCCTTCCCGGCTCTCACCGAGAAATCAGTTGACGTTCTAATTGGCAACGATCACTGTGAATTGCATTCTGCCTTGGAAGAAGTCAATGGCAAGCCAGGAGAACCACCAGCTCGCAGAACGCCGTTAGGTTGGACATGTATCGGAGCTGTATTGCACCATGATGATCGACCAACTCGCGCCAACACCACCTACTGTGGCGTACAGCTGAACCCGCTTTTCAACTGCTTGCAACGGTTCTGGGAAGTTGATCAAGGCGGCATCAGCCCTGAGCCCCCTGGAACATGAAAGACCGCAGTGTGAAGGCTGAAGTTGAGCAGTCAATGCGGCAACTCGACGGGGCTGGGTACGAGATTCGACTGCCATGGAATGAGCAGAAGTCGCAACTGCCAGGCAACGACAGCATGGCGGTGAAGAGGCTGCGCAACACGGAGAGCCGCCTGAACCGTGATCCGTCTATTGCAGAGGCACACAGCAGCACAATCGAACGGTATGAAGGCAAGGGCTATGTGAGGCGACTGGCGACAACAGTTTCAGCGGAAAAGGCATGGTACTTGCCACATTTCCCTGTCATCCGGACGGTGCATATAGAGATTTTGGATGTGGCGCTGTACCTATCAGCTCATGCTATAAGACCCTGGACAGAGGAACTGACCCAGATAGGATGAACCAATGGACATATCAACTGTGTGCAAAAATGACAATTCCATTGCTGTACATAGAATTTCACCATTTCAACAGTGCTGCATATATTACCATTGTAGCAACACTTAGACAGACCAGATCAATCCAAAACTTCCAGACAGTGAACATTAGGTGTGTTTGATCATTTTTGAACAAAAAACTTTCAATCGAATTTTTGGTCTGTGGTCATATTTTAGCGTGCTCTGGCTCATATACAGTCAACTTTGTGTATAACGAGGCATCAGAAAAGTGTCCGAATTGGTGCATTGCCGCTATAACTGCAGTTGTTATTAACAAAGTTGATTGGACTACTGGTGCAGGCAGATGTCAAACCACGGCACAATATCAAGTGTGAATATCCCAATGGACCTCTTCCAGTAGCGCTGCAAGTTGCTGCTTCAGATCCATCAACTTGCTCAAGTCGATAATTTGAGTAACCTTATGCGGAACATCGCTAGCACGAGCAGTAGGCAGCGAATGCAGTATTCTCTGGCGAGCGGAGAAAACTGTGTGCAGATGGGCTTTGGTGTGGGGAATATGAGTGCAAAGTCGAGTATGTTGAGGAAGACTGTGTGTAGCAGTGTGTACTGTATATCTGAAAGTACAGGTGGAGTGTGATGGAGAGGACGTGGAGTGCCAACTTCTTCAGCCATCTACAGATGTTGACTGAATTTTCGCTGGCGGTTCTCCAATGGTGCTCCACACAGGAGGTATTTCGGACACCCAGCTCGGTGCATATAGAAATTTTGGATGTGGCGCAGTACCTGTCAGCTCATGCTATAAGACCCTGGACAGAGGAACTGACCCAGAAAGGATGAAGCAATGGACATATCAACTGTGTGCAAAAATGACAATTCCATTGCTGTACAAAGAATTTCACCATTTCAACAGTGCTGCATATATTACCATTGTAGCAACACTTAGACATGCCAGATCAATCCAAAACTTCCAGACAGTGAACATTAGGTGTGTTTGATAATTTTTGAACAAAAAACTTTCAATCGAATTTTTGGTCTGTGGTCATATTTTAGCGTGCTCTGGCTCATATACAGTCAACTTTGTGTATAACGAGGCATCAGAAAAGTGTCCGAATTGGTGCATTGCCGCTATAACTGCAGTTGTTATTAACAAAGTTGATTGGACTACTGGTGCAGGCAGATGTCAAACCACGGCACAATATCAAGTGTGAATATCCCAATGGACCTCTTTTGCGATTTTTTTGGAGCGTATATTTTGGCGTTATTCTGCGAAATGAGTAGGAAAAGAGGGGAGTTATTGCAACTTCTGGGATTCCGTATTCAATGAAAAAATGAGGATATAGTCTTAGAGATGCTTGTACAACAGATCTTCCAACTCACTGTTACAGATGGGTTTCAGCTCCGTCAAAGTTCCAGTAGCACTGCAAGTTGCTTCTTCAGATCCATTTATACTATAACCAGTGTCACATGTGTAATTCACTTTTTGAAGGTATGACAGAACTCTCTTGTCACCACGGCCATGGGTGACAGTTGGCACAGTACAATTGACAACTACAATGAGATCGCAATGAAAAATGTAGGGAACAGAGAAAACAAGCAGAAGAACGCTAGAAGAAGAAGCTCGCCAGATTAAGCAAGGATTCAACAGGTTCGAGTGGCATCGTATGCGCTCTACATGCAGTCGCGAGTCAGTCAAGTGTCAAGTCAGCCCATATGAATGTCAGTGTGTGTGTGTGTGTGTGTGTGTGTGTGTGTGTGTGTGTGTGTGTGTGTGTGTGTGCGTGTGCGTGTGTGCGTGTGTGTGTATGTGTGCACGTGTGCGTGTGTGTGTGTGTGTGTGTGTGCACGTGTGCGCATGTGTGTGTGTATGTGTGTGTGTGTGCGTGTGTCCCATATGGTGCAGCGGTATGTGCAGCGATTTCCAATCGATACGTTGCGGGTTCGATTCCCGACGATTATGGTCACACACGTCTTTCTTCTCTTTCTCAGAGTCTTCCTGACTTTTCTTTTATTCTCCTGGGTGGTTACCAACCGCCAGTGCATGCTGGAGTATGTGGTGTGATGCTGTGTGCGGGAAAAAAAATAAAAAGACCAAAAAGTAGGGATTTACTGGCCAGAAAAAGCCACTTCATAGCTATGTGGTGTAGACCAGGCTGAATAGTGGCGGCCAATTCCTCAGCCTTGCAAGCTGTTGAATGGTGCAATCCCAGCACAAGTTGCTATGGCTTCTGCTGTAGTATCGCTATCATCGCCTCCAGCGATGGGCGTCCAATGGTCCAATGGTGTGTGGTAGACGAGACTGGCGCCTCATGTGCAACCCTCCCCGGCCGCCTGTGCTAAAGCCTAGAGTGTTCATTTGCAGCTGTGGCAGGGTCTTCTATCGGCCCAACAATCTAACTCGCGACAGGAAATACTGCAACTCCTAATCCTATCATTGCATGGAGCAATGGGCATCCAAAGGTGTGTGTGTGTGTGTGTGTGTGTGTGTGTGTGTGTGTGTGTGTGTGTGTGTGTGTGAATCTGTGTTTGTGTGTGTTTTGCTTCAACCAATGTCAACTATCAGTCTCCGAGTTACCCAGATTATGCAGTGGCTTATAAAATGTAACGGGAACCAGAAAGAAGAATTCACTCGCAATGCGCAGTTACAGTATTATAGATGAGGATGGAGAGCCAAGGACTAATTTATAGAAAAGAAAAAGGACGAAGAAACTACAAGTTTTGCTAATATGTCCACTAACACCACCAGTTACTAAACAATCAGCTCAAGCGATAACATTGCACGACGGTACTGACGTTCTACTGCTACAGTATTATACTTTATGTTTTCTTGCACTTACTGTTACAAGTAGGCATTTGTAGAGTTCCATCAGCACTGCAAGTTGATGTTGCAGATCCATTCATTCTATAACCAGTATTACACGTGTAATTCACACTCTGAAGATAGGACACCAAGGTTTTGTCTGCATTGCCATTCATGAGTGTTGGCACTGTGCAATTCACAACTAGCAGAACAAGAACAAAAGAACAATGTGAAGAAGAACAAAAGAAGTTTGAAAAAATGAAGTGAAAACTACCCGCATGCTCTAGGCTCTTTGTCTGACATTGAACACTTTCTGTAGCTCGGTGATAAACGGATTTGAAAAATGGATGATAATAGTCTTAGAGATGCTTGTATAACAGATCTTCCAACTCACTGTTACAGACGGTTCTCAGCTCCAACAAAGTTCCAGTAGCGCTGCAAGTTGCTGCTTCAGATCCATTTATACTATAACCAATGTCACATGTGTAATTCACTTGTTGAAGGTATGACAGAACTCTCTTGTCACCACGGCCATGGGCGACAGTTGGCACAGTACAATAATTATTGAGAACTAGAAATGAGAGGGAAGAAAGAGAAAGAGAGAGTGAGAGAGAGAGAGAGAGCAAAACAACAAGGGACTGAGAAAACAAGCACAATATGTTTATGTTGAGTATGAATTGGAGAGGTTTCTTACTCACTAACACAACTGACTGGAATCGGGAACAGGTAGGTTGATGGGAACGACATATATTATAGACGACAAGACAAGAGACCAAGACGAACGAAACGACTACATTGAAGAGTGAGAAAGAGATTATGGAAGAGGGCGAGATTTTTGAAGAGAGAGAGAGAGCTCGACTGAGAAACAACACAAAATAGAGGGCATGGGTAGCTACGGCAAACATGGGCACGCAAGTAGCTACCCAGGCCAAAGGAACGAAAGGTGAGTATGACGTAGTACGGGTGCATGCAGGCCGGCCAGCTTAGGAAAGGTTGAAGGTAAGATTGTAAGGGAGGAGGCACCTAACATTTATAAGAGACAGCTCGCCAAATTAGGCAATACATCACAGATCAATAATTTGTTTCAACGGGTTCAACGCATGGCCAGCAATCGAGGACATCTGAGAGTTGTAATTTTTGTACTCCTCCGAGGTATGAATTTTGGCGTGCAGGGCCAAGCACAAGGAAGCCATCTGCAAAAAAACTGCAGAAAATGGTTGTTGTTTGATCCTTTGGTGTAATCTTTGTTTCTAGTCGAAGCTCGTTGCTGTTTGGAGCAGAAACGCTGAAATTGACTATTTTCTGCATGTACTCATACATGTACTCATGTAGTCAGACATGCAGTCTCACTCGTATTTTAGCTTTTTTTCTGGAATGGATGCTGCTCTGCGCCCCTTGGTGAACATTTCCTGAGCTCGTGGAGCAGCTGAAAAGGACCACTGGTATGTCTGGTTCCTGGTTTGAAAGTGGAGAGTCGACTTTTGTGCCTTGAAAAAAGGAGTAGAGAGCGATAAAGGTACGTCGGTGGCTTATTTTTGAGTTCCCCTCGTACATTTTTGATCGTGATATAAATTCTCAGACCAAAGTATTACACGTGTAGTTCACATGTTGAAGGTATGACACAGTTTTCTTGTCTGCACTGCCATGTAGGAGTGTGGGTGCTGTACAATTTACAACTAGCAGTACAAGAAACAAAGCGCCACGCAGTTGCAGTGTTGAAAAAGAGACAGCAGAGACAGATGAATGTCGACTGGAACTCGGCTGACGACAATTCGGGAAGATTCAGAATGACTGTGACACTACATCTGTGTTTAGTCTCTTGAATTATATACAGTCAACTTTGTGTATAACGGGGCATCAGAAAAGTGTCCGAATTGGTGCATTGCCGCTATAACTGCAATTGTCATTAACGAAGTTGATTGGACTACTGGTGCAGGCAGATGTCAAACCACGGCACAATATCAAGTGTGAATGTCCCAACGGACCTCTTTTGCGATTTTTTTGGAGCGTATATTTTGGCGTTATTCTGCGAAATGAGTAGGAAAAGAGGGGAGTTAGTGCAACTTCTGGGATTCCGTATTCAATGAAAAAATGAGGATATAGTCTTAGAGATGCTTGTACAACAGATCTTCCAACTCACTGTTACAGACGGGTTTCAGCTCCGTCAAAGTTCCAGTAGCACTGCAAGTTGCTTCTTCAGATCCATTTATACTATAACCAGTGTCACATGTGTAATTCACTTTTTGAAGGTATGACAGAACTCTCTTGTCACCACGGCCATGGGTGACAGTTGGCACAGTACAATTGACAACTACAATGAGATCGCAACGAAAAATGTAGGGAACAGAGAAAACAAGCAGAAGAACGCTAGAAGAAGCTCGCCAGATTAAAGGGGAACTCCACGAAAAAATGAAAATTTGATAGCCTGTAGAGTTTCGGGCGCTGAGTCGAATGGTCTTGGTCCGAAGTCTCTACGAGAAAGCGTTCTTGAGATATTTCAATTTTAGCCACGCCCCATACCAATGTATGTGTGACGTCATTGTGGCATGGTGCGAAAATACTTGGATTTTGAATCTCACTTTCTTCAGGACGAAAGTCACTTCAGAAAGTAGTTTGCCAAGTCGCCTGAGCCGCTGCAATGCCAAATTGTTGTGTTGTTGATTGTGCCAGTATCACATCATCCTCCTGGGGTTAGTTTTCTCAAATTCCCAAAGGATGGAGACCTGGCAAAGCGCCGAGATGTTGCAATGCGGCGTGAAAATTTCAAGCCTATTTTCGCAGCACGAGCTATGTTTGCTCGCTGCATTTATGATCCAGAGGGACTTGAGAGCTGAGTTTTGACGAGTACGCCGTCCAGGAAAGCCCCCATCAGTGTACCAGTGCCCTCCGAACCGTGAGCCTCCAGCAAAGCGAACTCAACAAGCTGCAACTGAGAAAGCAGGGCGAGATACGTCCCATCAGGATCAGAAGAGTACATCACCCCATCAACTCCGACTGCAGCTAGCTGATGAACGATATTACCCCAGTAACTTTGCGCATACCAGTACTCAAACTGTGCACATCTGTCATCAACTGGGACGCAAACAGACAGACCCCAGCAAGTACGAAGGTTACAGAACTGTTTGCTTGCGATGTGCAGGCAGCATGCACGACGAACTGTCTCACCAATCTTGCCAAACTGAACCAGTGTAAGTTGATTGCGTGGATATGTCTCTATTTATAACAGCTACCCTACTTCTAGGCATGGTTGCATGAATACCATATCACTCAGAGCAGTTGTTAGAAGTCTGGACAGCCTTGGAATGGTGCAAGTAAAGTGAAACAAAAATATATTACACTCCGAGTTCCACGCTTGCGGGATCACCAGGCCAAAAAAAATCTAATTTCGAACAAGGAATGGGTTCTGGTTGTATGCGAAAGAAAAGTAAGTGAAGACCTATTGTGCAAGGAATACAGTGGGAACTACACATATTATACACATGCACTCACACCTTCACCCACATGCGCGCGCGTGCGTGTGCGTGCACACACACAAACACAACAACACACACACATACGCACCCACATACTCAAACTCACTCGCACGCACGCTAGCCTAAGGATAGTACATATGCTGTAGTAGTGGTATACTTAGTGAAATGACTATGTGTACATCTAATGACGCCGCCACTCCACGCCAGAAGACAACAAACATCTGCTGAACATTTTTGCTCCCGTCTCTTATGGGCAACACAGGGAATGAAACGAACAATGCAATTGAGAACAAGAGTCGTCCTGTACGGTGAAGTTTCCATTTTCTCATACAGCAGTATATTGTCTAAGCAAGTGTGTTTTCTCCACATTCTTTTTGCCATGCAGGTATATCACAGTGTCATGCCAAACGACATTCTCAAACGCATTCGTTTCTCAATTCTGGGGATGGTTGGACACGCACATCTCGCAGCTCTTGACGACGTCAATGTCAACCGTCGCCACAGCACAACCAAAAAGACCGCGATAGGAAGGTATAAAGTCCAGTTCTCAAAGCATAAAGAAGACTGTGGCCAAATGGAAAATTATACGACAGAAAGAGCTATGAGTATGTTGACAAGCTCATGTATGAGGTGGTAGCGGTTGCAAATGGCAACCTCCATGTTCCTGCCTTGGAGAAGCGTGTTTCCCTGCCAAATTCCAGGTGGAAGCCTCCTGAGAAGGCTGAGGTGGTGCAGGATTTGGATATCTTTGCCTGATGGTATTCACAACGCAGGCTGGAAGACGACAACGAACGTGCTTGCCCAATTTGCCGTGTACATAGTGTGTACTGCCTGTGTGCCGCATAGCCTAGAGATCTACACAAACACAGAATGTCATATGGAATGTGTATGATGAGTGCTTGTACACATACCACATTGCTGTACCGTAATAATTATTATAGTCAAATACTCATTTACTCTACATATGCGCTGTATTGCACCTACCGGTACCTACCTGCACTTTCAGTGCGCGCGCCATACTAATTTAGTGTCCACTGGTACAAAGATGGAGGGTCTTGTAGAATTTACCATAATTGCTGATTTCAAATTGAATTCCAATGATCTGGGGGATGAATACTGATTAGGACGCGTTCGATTACCTACTAGTACAGAGATGTCTTGGTCAGAAAGTACAGATTTCTTACTCTCCTGCCAGAATTTGTGCATTATTTTGGTGTACGCTTTCTTGACCCCACGCTTGTACGTTGCATGCCATGGTATACTAGAAAACGAGTTTATTGACAAAGTCTATCGCTTGAAACGATAAAGTATGGGTTCGGGTGTGATCAAATGCACCCATGGTGCTCATAAACTGTGTGCAGTGCTCTCTTCACCAACAGAACACTACCTACCATACTTTGTAGATCTTGTACCAATCCAAGGGAAAATGACAAAGACAAATGTGAGTCATGCATGAAAACTTGTGATAGCACGGTCTATAGTACAGAACAACGTTGTTCGTGCTATGCCTGACAACAATAATTAGTTACACACAAAACATTACGCGCATCGATCCTCACAAGATAAGTCAAGACATACTCGGAGCAAAGAGAAATTTGTTTGTGTCATGCATGAAACTTGTGATAACTACCAGTACAATGTCTTTCTTGTGCGACGCCTACTGTAGTGCGCCTGACAACAATAAATTTCCCCAAAAAAATAAGAATATGGGTATCATGCTGATACGCGATCCTCACAAGACAAGTCAAGGCAAACTAGTTGAGGCTTACCTACTGTCAGACTCTTCTGTCACTGGCATTGGCGGCTTCTGCATGTCGAGATAACCTCGAAGAGCAGTGATGAGCACAGCCTAATGCAAGGATACGATCTCGTAATCTGCGAGGTCCGCTACGCAAGAAACCTTGGGCCGTCTTGTCGACAGCGACGGCAGCATCCTGCCAGCAAAATCATTCCCGCGGGCTGGGCATGGCTATACACTTTTGTCCACGCTCGCACCAGTCGGAGTCCCAAACGAATCGAGATTCTGGTGGCCAAGCTACTCGTCTTCTGTCGGACGCAGCTGCTGACGCATCTTCTTCCTCCACATTTGTTACACGCGATGGCAGCTCCTCAGCAGAGTATCTGGGCTCCCTGCCCCAACCATACGCGGCGGTGGGCTGTTGGTCGTCCTCACTGGCCTCAGCATCGCTGCCTTCATTGCTGGGGACAGAGGATTATTCGGAATCGCCCATCTTCCCTCGAAATACCAACTAAAATTAGTGCTTGTAGACTGGCGAAGAGAAACGACTTTGCCACAATGACGTAGGCAGCCCGTGATGATGTAACCAAATGGCCGCATGACGTCAGGGCGCGGCCCCCGTTTTTGCAATTTCAAAGTGAAATATCTCAAGAACGCTTCGTCGTAGAGACTTCGGACCAAGACCATTCGACTCAGCGCCCGAAACTCTACAGGCTATCAAAGTTTCATTTTTTCGTGGAGTTCCCCTTTAAGCAAGGATTCAACAGGTTCGATTGGCATCGCATGCGCTCTACATGCAGTCGCGAGTCAGTCAAGTGTCAAGTCAGCCAATATGAATGTCAGTGTAAGTGTGCGCGTGTGTGTGTGTGTGTGTGCGTGTGTGCGCGTGCGAGTGCGTGTGTGCACATGTGTGTGTGTGTATGTATGTGTGTGTTTGTGTGTGTGTGTGTGTGTAGACGAGACTGGCGCCTCATGTGCAATCGTCCCCGGCCGGCTGTGCTAAAGCCTAGAGTGTTCATTTGCGGCTGTGGCAGGGTCTTCTGTCGGCCCAACGATCTAACTCGCGACAGGAAATACTGCAACTCCTAATGCTATCATTGCATGGAGCAATGGGCATCCAAAGGTGTGTGCGTGTGTGTGTATGTGTGTGTGTGTGTGTGTGTGTGTGTGTGTGTGTGTGTGTGTGTGTGTGTGTGTGTGTGTGTGTGTGTGTGTGTGTGTGTGTGTGTGTGTGTGTGTGTGTGTGAATCTGTGTTTGTGTGCGTTTTGCTTTTTATTTATTTATTGCTATAATCATGATACGAGCGCACCTATAGTGTTATTAGGCCGAGTAAAAAAAATTACTAGATGATCGTCCTTTTTTTTGGAAAAATCGGGGAGGGCGGGAGGATTTTATTTTTATTTTTTTACTTTTTACCCTCTCATGCACACAGTAGTGTACACAACAACATCAAGGTTTTTTTTCTCTTTTTTTCTTTTTTTTTCTTTTTTTCTTTTTCTTTCTTCAGCAGATCGATACTGACGTTGTGATATACTAGTAGTATATGGTCCATATAGTAAAACTCACGATTTAAAAAATAAAATATTTCTTGGGGCGCTGACAAAAACTGGGGCGGACGGGGACGATCATCTAGCTTTTTTTTTTACTTGGCCTTACATGCATTTCATATTATTTTCTCCACGTCGCCGTTGTAAGTGGTTTACATTATTTCGTTGTTAGTTTTGTGCCTAGTTGTTGCACTTTCTGACTGTATAATAGTAACCAGTTACAGTGATTGAGAGTAACTCTAAGGCCGATTCCACACTACGCCGAAAGTGGCTTTGCCTTGAAGGCATAAATTGGCTTATAAAGTGAAGCTGCATTCCCACCTACAAGTGTCGATCACAAGACTTTGCTTTGAAGGTAAGACTGTGAGGCTTTCCTGTGCTTGATCTAGCAACGGCGGTAGTGGAGAGGCTCTTTGTTGGTCCTAATCCTCGAATATCACCCATTTTCACGTGTCCAATCTTGAAATTTGACCACGCTAGCGCGCTGTGTGTAGGCGGATTCCAGATCATAGGTCGACTATTTGTCAACCTCGCCAACAGGCATTCCGGTGGCAGTTTTCGTTGTGTATGTCTCGTACAGTCCTTTCGCCTTCGTTTTCATGTTGTCGATTTTGGAATGGACGATTGACGCAGTATAGATTGCCTCCTCCCGGAGCTGTTCAGCAAACAAATTCAGCTTGATGGCGATCTCCTCCGGCGTAGCTCCTGCGAACTGTACCGGCCGGAGGTCGCCTCAAATGTCCGCTCCAAAGTTCGATCAGCTTGCCCTCAAGCTCCTGGCTAAACATGACCCTAGGCATTGTTGACAGCCTACAACTCACCACGACTGAAAGATACGACAGGGAACACATTCGGAAAATATCGAAAGGCTGAAGAAAAGTGAGAAAAGTGTCCTGTGAAAAGGTAAAAAGTTGCCTTGAAAGAGGGTGCTGGTGTTGCTTTGTAGACAACAAGCACTTTTCACTTTCGCGCGTTTCTCAAAGTGATCGCCATGGCAACTTGCCAGAAAAGTGCCTGAAAAATGGCTTTTTAGACAGTATTTGGTGTAGTGTGGAATCGGCCTAAACTCGTATCCATATGTCCCTTTCCTTTCCATATTTATTTATGGCTCAACATCCGAGTTTCAAATAATAATAATAATAATAATAAAATGGTGCACTGGCATGTGCAGCGATTTCCAATCGATAGGTTGCGGGTTCGTTTCCTGAGGATTATGGTCACACACGTCTTTCTTCTCTTTCTCAGACTCTTCCTGAATTTTCTTTCATTCTCCTGGGTGGTTATCAACAGCCAGTGCACGCCGGAGTATGTGGTGTGATGTGTGCACGGGAAAAAAAGGAAGAAGAAAGAAAGACCAAAAAAACACCAAAAAAACACCAAAAAATAGGGGTTCACTGGCCAGAAAAAGTCACTTCAAATAGCTGAATGGTGTGGACCAGGCTGAATAGTGACGGTCAATTCTTCAGCCTTGCAAGCTGTTGAATGGTGCAATCCCAGCACAAGGTGCTATGGCTTCTGCCGTAGCATTGCTATCATCGCCTCCGGCAATGGGCGTCAAAGGTCAGGTCAGGTCAGGTGTGGGTGTGGGTGTTCTGGGTGTGTTTGGGTGTGTGTGTGTGTGTGTGTGTGTGTATGCACCCCAATTGCTTCCTACACTGTGAGCACCTGTGTCACCCAGAATTCAGCTAGATCTGTAAATGTAGAGGAGACAGTAGGAACAATTCTCAGATTATGCTTAAAACTACGTCATGGTTTACATTGTTTGCACTTACTGTTGCAAGTAGGTATTTGTAGAGTTCCATCAGCACTGCACATTGCTGTGGCAGATCCATTCATTCTATAACCAGTATTACACGTGTAGTTCACACTCTGAGGATAGGACACCATTGTCTTGTCTGCATTGCCATTCATGAGTGTCGGCACTGTGCAATTTACAACTAGCAGAAGAAAACAAAAATAACAAAAATACTTAGTAACAGTGGTGACGATTCCTGCGGCTTCACATAGAAAGTTATTTTGTGCAGATTTGCTCTTCACCATTCACTTTTCCACAATAATGGAAGAAGTTATACAATGCTTTCAACAGAACGACATTTGAATGAAAAGAACTAAAAAACTGGTAGATAATCCGGGAGGAGAAAGAACCCTACTGAAACTGGCCGTACATCGATGGAGCACAGCTAGGGCCCATAAGCAGTCCACTGGTATTGTTTTTGTCGATATGTCATAAGCGTTTGATAAGGTGCGCCACCAAACGCTGCTAACTGACTTCACGAAAGGGTGCACGTGGCACTGCTCTGGCCTGGTTTGCCAGCTATTTGTCGGATCGGAAACAACGTGTTAAAGTTGGTTCTTCATCGTCATGCTACTCGGAGAGTTCACGGGGTGTACCGCAAGGTAGCGTTCTCGGCCCGTTTCTTTTTTCTGTTTACATCAGTTCCATCGACTCTCATCTACTGCCTGGTATTTGTCCCCAACAATTCGCCGATGATATCACCTTAGATACATCATCATCCAGCCGTGCAGACATCAGCTTTAAGCTTAGTGTCGCAGACAGTTGACTGAAGCCTGCCCTGCGACAGGTCAGTTGATGCGGAACAAGACATCAGAGGAATCAAGAGTAAATAGCCCCCAAGAATGTGCAACTCCAGCTATGGAGTCTGCGACGGCAGAACTTCACATCATGTGATGAACCCGTACACATTATTTGCACTCTGTGCATGATTGATACAGGGTTGTACGAACCCCAGCTTTGGGCACAACTCTCTTGTGATCACTTTGCACTGTTTTCAAGTGTAACCTTTTGAACCATGTCACGTGATGTGAAGTTCTGCCGTCGCAGCACTGCATTTAGAAAAGCGATCCTGTCAGCTTTTCTATTATTGTGTTCACATGGCGCTACCTAACGACACCGCTATTCAGACACGTTGTCTACGTAGCTACGTAAGTTTCTACGTAAGATGCTCGGTACCTGGTCCTGGACCAGGGAGCTACTCCATGGCTCCTACCATCGCGCGGCGGGCTGGCCGCATGCGTTTGCATTGCAGACTTTTTGTTGTTGCCTTTTCGGATGTGCATGCATGAGGAACTTCCTTCTTTGGAACTGCTTCTTGCATGAGCTGTTTCGCATATTTCGTCTCCTGGCCTGGCTTATTTCGTTTCGGCGCTGCTGAGACCTCCTTTCGCGGAATATTACTCAATGACAGGTGAGTTGACCAGTTCCCTTTGATTCATTTGCTTGTGTTGACTCTTTCATCTACGAAAAGTGTGCTGATTTTGGTCGGAATCAGCGGCATTAAAAAATGGAAAAGCTGACAGGATCTCCTTTCTAAATTTAGCTTTTCCGCTGCCGAGGCCTCCTTTTACGGAATACTCGATGACAGGTGATCTCTGTCTCTGAGTTGACCAGTTTCCTTCGATTCATTTGCTTATGCTCACCCTTTCATTGACGGAAACGTGTGCTGATTTTATTCGGATTTTATAATAGATCCAATTTTTATCTCTTTGCCCTTGCGTACAGTGTACGAAGAACGCGAGTTCACCTTCTTGACGGTAAGGCTTATGTTAGATGTGTTGTCGAAATACTCATATTCATTGCACATTAGTACGTTACAAGTAAGGCACTGGTCAGTGGCATACTATCGTTGGCAGTTCCCAATCTGGAATGAAAGGTTCAAGGACTCATTGACCGAGTTGGCCAAATAAATTCGCATATCAGGGAAATCTCCATTGTGGAGAGGTTCAGTAGCTTGTTTGCTTCATACGAAACAATCCATGGGTGCAGTCTCGTCTCGTGAAAATCTCGTACTTGTATGATTGGATTTGTTTACTCGAGTCTGGGCTGTTTGATTTGTGAGTACCGCCGAGATTGCACTGCCCCAAATAAAGTTTTGTGCCGCCAAAGCAAGAATTACGATCTGCAATCTGTTTGTAGTACCTGCAAGAATGTGCAGTACATGTATCGTACTTTCTCTGTTGCTGTTTCAGTTGCCGTCATGTTGCTAAGGGTTGGTTCACATATCGCCGGTACGCGCCGGGAGTCAACGGGAGTGGGCCTCTTGCAACCTCTCCCAGCGCATTACGATTATTTGAACCAGTGCAGTCGTAACAAAATCATACGGTAAAATATCGCAAGGGACCGCCGGCAAAGTTGGACAGTGCCCAACTCTTGCGATCTGCCCCGACACCGATCCCGTACGATTTGGACCAAAAGTCGTTTGTGAACCGTTTGCGCCGGTGATCGCCGGTTGCCGGAAGCCAGACTTTGTCAAAATTTCAAACCAAGGCTCGTCCTAAAGTTTCCTAAATTGAAGCTAGAGACGACGTTCGTTCGCCATTCTTGTAATTGCTTCAAGGTGGCAAATAAGTCAGCATACCAACCCGTCCTTTTCAGATGATCTGCTTGACTGTTGTGCAACTTATGAGACAAATACAATTGAAACAAATAAAAAATACGATGGATACATTGGCAAGTTCTTGTGACTTCATCAACGTCTGCATGCATAATTTCGACACCGTTGCTTACTAGACGGCAATAAAATGTGTAGAAGTAGTTTCCTGATCTCCAGTAAAAGGTAGCAACCAGTGGCCATCACCGAAAGACCTTGAACTACTGAAGAAACAAAGAATTCAAGCTTCAATTGCCAAACCTGTCGTAGCATTTGGACACATTCTGTACTACTTTGTAGTAGATTTGGTACTCAAACCGTATGCGCAACGGATCGGGAGCTGGCTCACCGCCGATGTCTTGCGATGTCTTGCGGCGCCGATTTTGCTTATGTGAACCAACCCTAAAGAAAGGTTCAGTAGAGGTTCTGCAAAACGAAAATTTGAACGAAGTTTCGCGACAGTCCTTGCGAAAGTGTGTACGAATTTTTGCACGAACTTTGCGTTCTGCACATTTTCGTAGTTTGCGCGGGCCAAGTGCACGTACGCCATGACCCGATCTCACGAAATTTCCTACGACAGTTCATTTCGCGTTCTCCGCAAGTTTCGCGTCCAAAGTTGCGAAAGTTCGTGCGAAGTTTCGCACTTCATGATGTAGAGCGAAAGTTTGTACGCATTTTCGTTTTGCAGAACCTCTAGTGACTCTTTTGTTTCATGCGAGACGAGTCAATGAGTCGGTGTGGCTTAGAATCTTTCACTGTAGAAAAAATCTATTTGTATGTCTATTGGAGAAATAATTGTATTCACTGGTTACCGAAGGATGTACCCAGAGTGCTGACAGTGCTCAACACCACAAAGGCAGAGCGTAATACACAACAGAACAACAAGGACAATCAAGGCTTGTTTGCTGCTACTTTAAGTTTCATGCTTACGCAATCATCAGGCAACGTGATGATTGCGTAAGCATGAAACTTAAAGTAGCAGCAAACAAGCCTTCATTGTCCTTGTTGTTCTGTTTTGTATTCACTGATTATAAAATAGGTTAAGACAAACCCACAAAATATATATCATCGGTCCCTTGGTGTTCGTCCTAAAGAGGTTCGACTGGATATCATTCATACTCACCAAAAGATGTGTAAGATTTTATTATCATGGAGTGCCTTGTTTATCTCTCAGTATCAGTACCTCCAACCATAGCCTTGCCCCTTTTCTCCTCAGGATCAGTATAGTTGTTGGAACGAGGTTTTGGACTCAGCAATGTATTCGTTTACATTTTAATACATGTTTATTGTTCCTCCTTTGCTGTGTTGTTTTAGAAAATCGTGGACTAACAGTTTGAAGTCATTGAACTACTTCCAAAAGTTGTATCGGCATCAACAGGATTACCATTTCAGTGCAATATGATGCAGGATGACCTTATCACGATAACCCATGATTATAAACCATTATGAACACAGAATCAACAAAAACATCTGCGACACGCACCTGGCTACATTTCTCAAAATAAATCTGATCGAGGGTGGGGAAATCTGAAATATCTGAAAGGCAAGACAATTTTATGACAGAGTCATGAAATTCTGCAACAGCAAGTTGCAACATGCACAGAATGACCTCCGTATAAAAAAAGTATCACCACCACCAGACCACGACTCGCATGTTTCCCCGCCGAAGAACATGCATTATGCTACAGTGCCATTTTCTGCAAGAAAAGGCTTGCACATCATGCGTATAATACGGTATTGATGTGAAGGCCATCATTTACATATTTTTATACAATGTAGGGCATTCCATTGATTGGTGACAGAAAAAAACAAAAGAAATTATAGCAATAAAAACTGCTTTATGGCAGTTTTCTAAAAAAAGTTATTGTGTTCTAGTCCATGGACCCCGTCTAAAAAGTAAGAAATTAACGAAATGTGATAGCCGAAAATTAAAATTTCACACAAAACTCACAATAATCACACACAGAATGAAAAGCTACATGTACCGTAGAAGATCTTTTCTCCTCGCGATCCTCTTTCCTATGCATGCATGTTGCCAATTGTTGGTGCAGTACAAGTTTAGTGTTGAAAGCAGCATTTCAAGTGTTGTGATTATTGTGAGGTTTTGTGTGAAATTTTAATTTTCGGCTATCACATTTCGTTAATTTCTTACTTTTTAGACGGGGTCCATGGACTAGAACACAATAACTTTTTTTAGAAAACTGCCATCAAGCAGTTTTTATTGCTATAATAGAGGTTGTGCAGGCAGTTGCACACTCTTGGGGGTTATGTACTCTTGGTGGAATCCATCAAAGCTGCAACGACAACTGAAACAACTCAGTGTTGTGCAGGCAAACAGTCACTGTAACTGCAAGTGATTTTCACTTTGCGCGGGACTGGCCTCTCAATCGACCAGGGAGTCATACAATATATACTCCCCGGTTGACATGTACTGCCATGTGTACGGAGTACGGTGTTCGTTAGTGCAACCGAGTTGGCCGCACAAACGAGCCGAGTTTTTGGCGAACGAGCTAGCGAGTACCCGGTGAGATAGCTTCAACACTAATGGA